AAGCACATAGGAGAAGCACGCATCCTAGACTTTAGGTTTCAGAGAACACCTACCCAAGGACGTGACGTTTTAGATAATGAGGGACAAGGAAAAAAAAAAAAAAGATGGTGAGTCAAGAGAGTTAAAAATCCAAGAACAAGAATTCAGGCAATGTGTGGCTGGCCTGTGGACAGGGAGGGAGAGGCGAGGCAGCAGATGGTAGAAAGAGGAGCAAGGGCCCTGTAAACATGTTAGGACTTGTGACTTTATCCTGAGGACAACGGAGAGCCTCTGCAGGGCCTAAGTAGGAGACAACCCGGAAATCCAGCCACCTTTTAGGAGTCTCCGCATGCGCGCACCAAAGCGCCTCAGGCTCAGTGTCCAACCCCTTCCCTGCAAACCTACTTTTGCACCACTTTATTCCCTGCATCTCAGAGTCTGGCATAAAGCAGGTTTTTAAAACGAGTGTTTGCTGACTGAATGAGATATGGAGATTTTCTTGAAAAAGTATGCAGAGAAACCACAGGACGACATATACCAACTTTAGTAGTTGTTACTTCAAGTGGGAGAGGGAATAAGATAAGAGTAAAACGGTGGCTTTAATTTTATCTAAAATTTTTTAAGGATTTTATTTATTTAGTTTTAGAGAGAGGGAAGGGAGAGAAACATTGATTGGCTACCTTTAGCACACGCCCCAACCAGGAACCTGGCCCACAACCCAGGCATGTGCCCTGACTGGGAATCAAACCAGAGACCTTTCACTTTGTGGGATGATGCTCAACCCACTGAGCCCCACAGGTCAGGGCTAATTTTATCTAAAATGTCTGACATACTGTGAAAGAAAAATCTGAACCAAATATGAGTAAAAAGAAAATTATCTCCTAAAACTGGATGATGCACAGATGAATGTTTTATGATACTCTATACCTATCTTATGCTTGAAGCACAGCTAAATAAACAAGATAAACAAACAGATGTTTTAGCACACCTAGTGCCTTGCACACAATAAGCACTTAATAAATGGTAGCCACCTTAATAATAATGCAATTAGAGCCTGCCTGTGAAAGTGGTCAAAAGCATGCTGATACGCTATCCCAGGGCACATACTAATAATTGGTTAGAGTAGACAGTTACCTCATAGAGATAATACATTTGGGTTTGGTTTCTTGATTCACAATATGGGTAAACTTTTTAATGCAAACATTCAAATAATTCTACTCTTAAAACCTAGAACTTCTTGTTAATTGCTAAAAATTATCATGTTAAAAATAGGGCTTTATAACACATTACCAAGTTATGTTGACACATTAATAATCATGCAGAATGTAGCTTATAATTTCTTCCTTAACCAGATTATCGAATAGACTACACACACACACACACACACACACACACACACACACGACAGAGATCCCTCTGGCCCCAATGCAGAAAATGAAACAGAAAGGAGCACAGAAGACTGAAAAGGTTTGGAGTAGTGGCTGTGGGGAAGCTGACAGAGAGGAGACATTGGTGGGGACGAGGCAACTTACATCCTCCAGGAGGTCCTCGGGCAGACTGACCCTGGTGTCCCCCAGGAGGCAGTCCTCCATGATGCGTGTGCCATGGCCATCTCCACATGGACCCAGTTCCAGGGGGTCTGTCAGCATGTGGTCCAAGGAATCCATTGTTTACGTTCCACAGGTAATCTAGACAAATATACGCTGTTACACCTTAACAGGGAAAGGTGGAAGTCCCAGGACCTGACTGACACACCCCTTCAGAAACTACTCTGGCCCAGAAAATACTCAATCTCAAATCTATTCCTATGCTTTATCCTCACACCCTGACCACAACTCAGCAGCTCTTCTCCCTCCCTTCCACCGACACATTCATCTGAACTTGCAAACCTGATCAGACCTCTTGTTACTCAGAATGCTTCTACAATAACTCCCAAATTTATAGAATTTCTTCTAGCTTCATTTCACACATAAGCAAAATGAGCCTCGATAAACAGATCAGCAGAGTCTGTAATTTAGGACTTCCCAGGCCAATAACCTCTCCACTATAACATAATGTGACAATTAATTGTTTTTTACAATTATTTTTTTGTTCCTTCACAAAGGAAAATTTACTGAAAATCCACACAGACTAATAAAGCTCAGCCACTAACAATAAGTTATTTAACAGAAGCCTTTTAAGTGCTAGGACTTTCTTGTATCTCATTTAATTCTTACAACTATGCTAGACAAGGTTACTGTATCTATTCTATAGATATTAAAAGGACTAAAGTAGACAAGTACCTTGCCCAAACCCAGAGGTAGTACTGAAGTTCAAGTCTACCTGACTGCAACCCCATTTCCTAACTCTATATACAATACGTCATATATAAAATTCCAATTTAAATTATGAAAAGGGAGCATCTTAATATGACTTCATTAGTCCAAGTAAACTCCGGAGGCTCCAACAACCTGGCCATGACAACCACCCACCTCCAGCTGGTCTATCTCATATTCATACCCACATAAATGTAATGCTATTTTTCTCCTTTCTATAGTAACTGAACACAGCTGGTCACCTTTAGGAAAGTACATATGAGAACATTTCAGAGAGCATTTCATAAAGCTGATGGCAAGAACCAGTCTAAAGCTGAGGCCATAGGTGAACACACCTAAAAGGAACAAGAGCTTAAACTCCATCACCCTGTGTCATGTCCTATTCCTACTAAATGAGCTAACAAGCGCAATAACAACGGAAAGAAAATAACAGGCAACAGTCAAACACCAAACTACTCCACTAATCTCAGTGACTTTGGCCAAAATCTTACCTCACCAGGTGTCAATGAAGGGTAGTTGGACCAATCCTGGATTCCCGCAACAATCTCTAGATGGGTGACAGTTTATATGGCGTAATGCGGTCAAGTAACGTAGTTAATGTAATGACTTCTCATTCTGAAACTCTCAAACATAAAGAGAAAGTCTGTAAAATAACTACCAAAATAAGTATATTTCCACTAAATTACTTCAAGTTATCTTGAAGTTTCAGATCTATGTACAATCCAAAAGATACAGTGTTGATCGAGTCAGCTGGGTGGCCCCCAAGCAATTGTACCCCTTTCACCCTCGGTGAATTACAATATCCTGGGCATTCCCTGTGACTAAATAACTGAAGCAGGTGAGAAAGCACGTGACACAGGCGTTTAACAGAAAACAGAAAACAATGAAGCTGCAACCTGATGCTCCAAGTAAAGTCCTTCTAAAAGAACTGTCACAGAACAGGGTCACCGCTGCAAAGCCAGTGCTCTCTACCTGACTCTTCTAATGATCACCTACCTCCGCTTCACATCTCACAAGTGTCTTCAATTCGGGGGATGTGGAACTAAATTTAATCTTATTTAAGTGGTAACCTTTGTCCTGCTACTATTCTGAACAGGCTGTCCAGATACCAAAAGCAGGAGCTGCCAGAAGGTTGGAACCCCGGAAGCCAAGGAGTTCTAAGTCTTGTGGCTTCAGGACCTCTTTTCTAGACCAAGCAGACCCTTCCCAATGGCTTTTCCTCTGCACCTGGGCTAACCTGGCCTCCAGGACCCTCCCCCAAAAGAACCTAAGCCCTAGGCTCCTTCCGGAGCAACCCCCTGCTCCAAATCCGTCGCCAGCGGCAAAGCCTTCACTAGTCAACCCCGTCCTAGCCTAAGGCCCGGCTCCCGCCCCTCCAAACTGCACATCAGCGCCCCGGGCCCCTCCCCCACACCATACCTAACCCTAACCCCCACCCACCGGAGCCACCCAGCTCCCACAGGCCCACTCCCCTGCCCCGAGCTTACCGGCTCAGCCACCCTTGGAGACCAAGCCGCTCCCTCCCTCCGCTCGAGGGCAACAATTTAACCCTTCAGCGCCCAGGGCCCGCCCTCACCAGTGCCGCAGGCACGGGTCTCGCAGCCCACCGCGCTCCTTGACCCGCGGGCTCCTGGACGCGCTCGCTCCCGCATGGCGTCTCTGTGCGTGCACGCTCCGGGCTCGGACGACGGAAAGGGTGGGGCCTGGAAAATGCCGGGGGCGGGGCTGCGCTGGGCGGGGCCTGGAGTGGTGCGGCGCTGGGTGGGGCCAGAGGGTACCCGGGGACTGGGCGGGGGTAATCCACTGACTAGAGCTCACGCGGGTGGGTTAAGGGATGCGATTTGCAATTGGCTTTAAGGTCTCACCACATTTAGAAGTTTCCGGAGGTTAGAGACGGTGTCGTTACTTTTTACCTGGCCGCGAACAGAGGCTCCAAAACCCGAGGGGCTGAATGCAATTTTATTAGGTGAGGTTTGCAGAGAGAGCATACCCTGCTCCAAACATTGTTAAGCACTTTCTACCCACTATCTCTGCACTATAGCTGTATTTTTTTTAGTGCTATGTACTATTAGTTCCTACTTTATGGATGAGGTAACAGCGGTTTCTCCAGTTTCATTGAGTACGCGGACTCCAGCCTAAGCCCCAGTGTGTTCCCATTTCTCTCTCCGGTCCCCGGGCCCTCGATGTTCGAAAAAATACATACAACGAAGAAATAGTTTTAATTAAACTGAATACGTTCCTCTACATCCCTTTCTTCTTATTCACTGGCTCTTAGAAAGGGTTCAGACAGCACAGAGACTCTCACCAGTGGTGCAGAGATCATCCTCAGTTCTTGATTTGGACGCATCTATGTCAGAGAAGCTGGAGGGTTCCCTAAATGTTACCGCCTTGTTGAAAAACAGTGGCTTCTTAATAAAGCCCCATCTCTGCTCCCCTGCTGGCTGCAAGCCTGCTTAGTTCCTGTTAGAAAGTTGGTAGGCTCTTGAACTAGAAACCACCAAGTGAATGAGCAGAACATCATTCCGCAGTCATCATTCATAAATTCTCTCACCTGGAGTCTCTGACCAGACTAGAGTGAATGAAACAGTCAAAACACTGTAGGTTCCAATAGTGAGAAATTAACAATCTCAGTAGCTCTTCCAGCTTCACACATACTAACAAGGAAGAAGTTTATTTAAAAAAATATTTATTAATTTTTACACCTGCTGAGTAGCACAAGACTATTAACACTATAACTCACTTAATGTACATTAAATGTTCACATTTAAATAACAGGATAGGGTCAACATTTTCAACTCATGGGTCAGCTAGCTTTAGCATCTCATGAAGTGCTTTTTCGCCCTAAGAGTTTTTCAAAGGATAATTGGAAATCAGAAAACAATTCAAGATCAAAACAATAGCTTTCTCCAGAGTTAACAGAAGTTTTTCATGATAAAATGTCTATTATGTGGGCACAAATCAAACAATAAAAATGTTAAATCTATATGTAACTCCAAAGTTTTCACACTGCACTGACTGCAGTCTACAGTGTCAATGTGTTTTAGGAAAGGAAACAATGTAACATTGGCTGCATACATTTTCCCCTCCAAATTGGGTCTTCAAGTGGCTTACAATCTGCCATCTCTTCAAATCCAAGTCCTTCTGAAAATCGATTCCCTTGGACAAATGTGAGGAATACCTGATCTTAAAGCAGTGTCATTTGGCTTGACTGCCACATGCCATCTCTGGTTGATAACATATCAATTGGTTTCAGAGTCTTTAATTCTTCCACATAAGGAAAGAAAGAAAAGAAAGAAAGAAAGAAAGAAAAAAAGAAAGAAAGAAAGAAAGAAAGAAAGAAAGAAAGCAAGCTCATACAGGAAAGAGACAAAGAGGTCCTTCCACATTTCCTTCTGTGTATTTTAAAACTTGAAATAACTGGCATAAAATGAACACTCCATTCAGTGACAGCTTTCTATTTTGATCAATGTTGCTCCTGAGGGGAAGGGAGGTACCTTGCTGATTCAAATTAAAAAGGACGCAAGAGGGCCAAATTTAAGGTATAAAAACTAAACTGGATCTTTGTGAAAGTCTAGTATTCTTCACCTAGCAAGTCTTTCTAGCCTGGACCCTAGGTAATTTACAGTCATTACAACATTGGACTTGTTGACCCAGAGTCTCTATTTTGTGATTCAGAGTCAATATTTCCTATTAAAAACACTGACATTACCTCTTTTTTACCAAAGATATAGAGTCCATTTTCAGTTTCTACAACATTTTCGTTGTATGTAACTTTCTCATCTTCTCTTGGGGCCCAAATTTTCAGGATAACTAAATGAATGAGATCTCAGAAATAAAGTGCAAAATCTACATATTAGTAAAGTTATTTCAATAGAACTGTTTACTTTTCAGAAAGGTTATCTTTACCATAAAGAAGCTACTACCCTTAATTTATAGAACCAGTTTTTACCCAGAAATGTAAATAAAATAAATTAGTGACTTCATTTGAAATTTTAAGTTAGGTTTTTCTGTCCTGGAGTGATCAATTCTACCATCAGTAATTATTCTAAAAGTGTGTTAATATATCACAAAAAGTTGTTAAAATACATACTGATCTCTGCAATGTTTTATGTGAACAGTTGGAATGTACAGTAAAAAGGAAGAAAATGTTTTCCCCATTGAATTCATAGCTATCAAAGAGGAATACATATAAGCAAAACTATCACTGAGGCAGATTTTTTTCCTTTCCCTACTAACAGTGTAATATTCATAAGGATTAGATTTCTTCCAGATCCCTTAACGCAGCGATTTTCAACTGGTGTGCCGCAAGAAGTGTTAAAGCATGCAATACCTGACTATTTAGTCTGGCACACTGATCTTTTTCCCCTTAGGTTGTCAAATTAAAAAATGACAACAGCCAACACAACAGTAGCCGTCTGGTGCAAATGCCCTGTCTTGAACAACAAATACACATATAGGTTGTATAATAATGAGTTGTAGCTTATTGGTCACATTGCATAATAAGATTGCATCTGATTGGCTAATTCTTGGTACTAGAAATCCTTATGTACAATTATAGGCACCTGATTTTTTAAAAAGTCACTTTGGAGCAAAAAGGGTAGGTAATTACTTTTTTTGTGGTAAATCAATCAAAATTATATGTATTTTTTTGGCAAATTTTTGCCTAATTGGCAATTTTTACCAAATTGGCAAAAATACATATTTTTTGGTGTGCCACAGAATTTTAGTAATTAATTTATGTGCAATGAGATGAAAAAGGTTGAAAATCACTGCCTTCACATACTATAAATGGTCCCCATGTTCTTATTTTCCCCTAAGTGTAAAGTTGGTCACACCAAAAGGTCCAGATGAGTTGTTGTATGTTTAAAGTAAAAGTGGTAAGAAATAAGGAGGGCCACCTTGCCATCCAATCTTGAAGAATGTTCATTTTAAGGAAGCATCAGAAATTCTAAAATACACTGAATGCTGTGAGTGAGGACTGAATGTACACCTGGGGAAAGGAATTCATCCTTCACCAATGACTGGTGAATGGGTCCTGCAAGGCAGGCAAGGTTTCAGTGCTTTTTACTTCATATATACACATATTGTCTCAGTAATTTTACTTGGTACCAACATCACCAATATCTCCTATACAACCACCCCAGAGAAGGGTTGGCAAAGCTTTACTGTAGGAGTTTCAATTCGGCCAACATCAAGCAATCTTTTCTCACACAGGGAGCCCACCGTGTGGAATAGTGAAATAAGATCTAGCAGAACACAGCATTCTGACCTAATCTGCTGAGGGCCAGAACCTGCACTACCAACAGCCTAACATGATTTTTTTTTTTTTTTTGCTAAAAAAGGCAAGATTTTTTTTTAAATCAGCAATAAGAAAAATTTAGATGACAGTTTTTCTTCAGAGCATCACTGTCAACCCTGTGTTTCATCATTGCTCTCTTCATATTCAATAGGCTCCCTTTGTTAAATCATGGCAAACTCAGAAGGTGACGCAGTTCTGACCTAACACACGCCCGTAAAATGCCCCTTCTCCTTTGGCGCCACAGCTTGGAATAAAGTCCAGTGGCCATGGACTTGTCACATCCTTTCTCCGCCTTTGGTACAAACACAATACACCACTTCATAGTTCCACAAAGGAAAAGTAAGGCTTATCAATGTGTTTAAAAAAAAAAAAAAAAAACCCTCAAGAGCAAGGTGAAGTTTCTCCATCTTGAAACCTACTTTCCACTGAAAGATCTCCATTCCATGACAGAAACTCCTAGGGTCTGAAGAGTCCTTCAGGTGAAGATGACTTTGATAAAATAAGCCCCAGTGGTTATATGAGCATAAAAACCATTACCTCCAAACTCTTGAGTGAATGATAAATCTGAAAAAAGAGTTATAAGTATCAGAAGCTTTCCAATTTACGAATGAGAGAAGACATGATGTGACTGCTTGATTCCAGCTCGAAGACAGAAATTAAGGTTTAGTGATATGCACTTCCCTGCCCCCACTCCCGCTGGTGGTGGTTGTGATGATGTACTGTGTGGCCTGCTGTGGGCTGCTGGTCTGGGGGTCCAAGTCACTGTGCGTAGTTGGCTGAGCCTGGACTCCCCCAGAGAGGGCAGAAGCTTGCTTGTCCTCCAGTTCTGGTTGGCTCTCTGATAACACATAATGACCCTGGAGCAGAAAGAAAGATCTTTAGAAATCAGGCCTAATGGGGGACAGGGAGTCTAGAGGGCAAACACAGGGAGTATGTAAAGGGATATTACAAGGGGAAGCTAAAACAGGCGCCTGTGGGAGATGCCTTATCAAAGTGTTTTAGAGAGAATGGACCCATCACAGTAATTGACTACAAAGGTAATTTAAGGGAACACCTTAGTTGTTCCACTGAAACATATAGTGAAGAACATCACGTACAGAAATTTGCATCACGGTGGTAACCCATAGGGCAAAAGAAACATTTGCATTGTGCTACTCCTTAGAATTTAACTTCCTAAAATAGGATTGCTATCTGTCAATTAAATTTTAAGATTAATATAAAATGGATCAAAGAAGAGTTGTTATCTAAAGTCTCATTAAAGAGGCAGAACAGCCCTCAAGACAAGTAGTCACGATCAATTGTTCCCAGACTTCAGAATTTCAAACACCAGCAAAATTAAAAGTAATGATAAATGGTTCCAAATTTTATTCTGCCAAGTAAAGACATTTTGAAATACTACTGTCAAATAAGAGATAGTTTAACACTCAAAGGCATAGGAAGAACACAATCTTAGGATAAAGTCCCTTACACATTGAACAAATTTAGCTTTATGAAAATATACATTGCCTTTCTATTTCCTCCTTTTTTCTCTGGCCACAGTATCTGTCTCAGAGACTGCAGCTAGCTATATCCTTATGTCAATGTTTTAAAGACAGAATGTGTTGGGTGGAAGGGGGATTGGTTAGCTACTAGACTGAGAACAAAAGAAGTCACGAAGGAAAACTCAAGCATTGGCCTTTCCAAGCACTGTCCAGGAAAGAGGCCATAGACAAATACCCATTTTATCTTGGCCCATGTGCTCATCAAATCAATTCCGATTACGACTTGGTGTCCCATGTGGCTCTTTCTTCAGCAGGAGGGAGATGGTCCTCAACCTAGGGTACGTGGACCCCTAGGTGGCCCCTAACTGGGCTTCCGAGAATCTATGGGCCCCCTAAAATGTACATTAAATTTGTGTGCATGTGAATTGTGGCAGAGGGAGGGGAATATCCTTGGCTACCATCAGGTTCCTGAATGAGTTCCTGGCCAAACAATGGTAGTCAGTGGGTCGCACAGATAGCAAAAATTTCACTGATCATACTATTTTACATTAGTTATGGTTTTCATTGACAGTAGTGTTATTCTGGATTTACACATAGCTCCTAAGTCTAGTTAATGTGAGTTTGGATGCTAAAAATGAGCTTTCAGTATGCCTTGGGGGGAAAATCAGGTTTTGAGGCCACGGGACTATCCTGGTATTCTTTGAGGCCTCTTGGGAAACATCTTCCCCTGGGAACACTCTAATATTCCCATCCACTTAAGAGTAGTTTTCTTCATTTAAATTCACATACTCTGTCTCCTAACAACTTAGAAGCAGGTCAGAATGAACCGTGAAGATAAAAACAGAGGTTGCAGTTATAATCAACATTGACTTGCCTAACCTAAATATCATAAAATAATGTATGGTAATGTTTCTCACCTTGGGATGGCTGAATTGTTTAAAATGGTTTAAAGGAGCCCTGAACAGATTGGTTATGCCATTCTTGCCCAACACAAGTTGATAACCAACAGTAGTGAAGAGTTACATACATTCCAAGAAGCACATCAAAAGGTGATCAATTATGAATTTATACACATATAGACCCAGGAGGTTCACTATAGTTATTCATGGGATGGGTATTTATCGAGCATTTACTATAGTCCAGCCTCCTATGCCAGGCACTGAGAATAGAGAGATAAAGACAAGACAAACCAGCTTTCAGGAAATCCATTATCTTCAGGGGAAACATAGATGGTAAACCAATAATTACAATAAACTGCAACAAGGGTTATAATATAGCTCCACAAGTTGTTATGGGCACACGGGGAGGCACTTCCAACTCAGACGTCGGCAGCTGGGGAGAAGGCGGGGGAGGGGCAGTGAGGTGGACAGGAAAACCCTCAAGAGCAGCACGGCTTACCGGAGTGACCGCCTTCACTTGGCCAGTGGTGACAGGAGTGGCCACACCACTATCGGTAATCACAAACTGTCCTGGCGGAAGTGTCATCATTTGAATTTCAGATGCTGAAAAACAGGAAATATCCCCATTTCAGCGGTCTCAGGTTTTACAACAAGATGTAGATCAGGGACCACAGTCCCCACTGAGACACTGTCATGGGTTTGTTTGCTGGGAGGGTCCTGTGATGACGCGATTTCTTGACGTAATAAAAGCATCTCTGGCAAGAACTGGTCACATGAGGTTAGTAGAGTTACCAAATATCGAAAACAATCACTGCATCTCCCTCAAATGCAGCTTCTGAAAACCCATAAAGACAAATACTCAACGATGTTTTAAAACCTTGAAGAAACAAAAACTTACCTGTTAGTTTAATATTTTATGTTTTATATTCACATTAGAATTAGTGGATTCACAAAGAATCCACTATTGTCTAGCGATCACAAATTGACCTAACTTGAGTTTTATTTCACCACCAGTCTTATTAAGGCAAATTAAAAACAAGGTTCACCAAAACACCCAGCTGAGTGTCTAAGTAATATTTTTGTACTACAAGGGACCAGAGCTTCCTGGGAAAACAGCTGATTCCAGAGCTGGGGCAGAAAACATAGAGTATGAACCTAGAATGTGTTGTCACACCAGCACGCAGGATGCCATAAAAGACTACAAGGTCACAAAGAAAAAACACAGGAGCCAATCCGAAGCTGCTCCCGCTAGCTAAAGACGGGACACCCTGAGCGTCACTAAGGACTACCACTGCCATGGTCTGACACACATCGGACGTGCCGGAAGTCAGGAGCATGTGGCAGTGCTAAGACTCACACACAGGCAGCCCTCACTGGGCGCTTGCCTCATCCCAGGAAACAACTCACGATTTTGGAAACTGGTGAAGAAAGGAGATGAGCCAGGTGTTTAAAGCAAGTTATCCCACCATTCCTACACAAACTGTATGTCAGCATAACCTGGTCATTGAGGTAAAATCATGTTCTTCAGTGCAGTTTTCTAGCTAATTAGTGTATAAAAACATAGAGCTGGGCGATGATGACTTTGCGATCCCTAAAGAAATAGTGGACCGAAGGCAACGAGAGGCAACCAGACACTGTGCCTCCTGGTGGAAACACGAACCACGAGCTAGGAAGTGTCAGGGAGAAACGGAACCCGACTCCGGCTGAGCCTCCAGATGGAACTGCTCGCCTGCAGGAAGTGAAAGGGACAGCAGAAAGCATCTTCAGTGATAAGCTAGGGACACCAACAGCAGCATCCATGTGGGGTTTTCAGAAATGTGGGATTGGGGGAAACTACAGTACCCATGACCCAGTTTCTTCAACACACATATTGCAACTCAAAAGACATAATCAATTGCAATGTCTGGCCCTTATTTGGAACCCAGTGTGAATAAACCAACTACCCAAAAAATTTATGAGACAATCACAGAAATATGAGCACTGACTGGATATTTGATGGTATTAAAAAATTACTGTCATTTATTTTTAGGTGCAGTCACAGTGCTGGAGTTGTGGGGTTTTTTTTTTAACATTCCCTGGGTTTTAGAGGCACATACTAAAATACTCACAGATGAAATGATATAGATTATTGTCTAGGTGGAGAACTGGGAGAGAATGGGGGTGGCTCAGAGGAGACACACTTGGCCTTGAGTTGGTAACTGTTGAAGCTCGATAATGAATGGGCCAGGGGACATCCATTACACTATTCTATTTCTGTATGTTCTAAAATTTTTCTTAATAAAATGTCTTAGTTCTAGAATCTTTTCTTCAGGTTAGGATGCTAGTTCATACTATTATCCCCATGACTGTGTTCATCAGTCTACATTTCTTTCATAGCAATTAAACTGAGTACAAATATCCATCTATTTACTAGGATTCTACTGGTATTTACCATGACTAGACTCAGCCCTCACTGGACCCACCAATATTTAAGAGAATAGACTGGAGGAATAACTAAATGGAAGAGTTGCAGCCTAATTCCAAGCCAAACCTATACAACACAGCCAAAGATCAATCACAACAGAGACAGACCCCCCACCCCATGCCCCACACAATAGCAGGGGAAGATCACCGCTGGCCTTCCTGCCTTCTCAGCCCCTGCTCCTCCTCACTGCTACTACTGAGGTCTGTTACCTCTATTCCTCTTCCTTCCGCATCTTCAGTCATAAAGGTCCCATGCTGTTCAGCTCATCCCCAAGCCTGTTGCCTGGTCTGACCTTTAGCAGCCAGCCTTTTACTGCTTCTGTAGCACTAATCTCTGGGCTTTGAAAACAACTACTCGTCTCTCTCCACTAGCTAATACTCTTTCCGAGCCACGGACCACCTCCTTAGGAGAGGAAGCCCAGCAGGGTGGGTTAGTGTATCTGGAGCCACTTGAGTTCCAAACCTCCATTCACAAGTTGTGTTCTTCAACAAGTTACTCTGCCTGAATACCTTATCTGTAAAAAACAAATAACCAGCATACTTACCCCACAGGTTGTTGTGAATACTGAACGTGTATACAGGTGGTTTAGGAACTTCCCTGGCACACAGTAAGAGCTTAATGAAAGCTGGCTAACATTGTTAGCGTGTGGTGTTAGTGATGTGAATGTTAATCTTTTGTACACCCAGGGTCTAGCACACTGACTGATATACAGGCATGCAATAAATATTGGTGGAAGAGACAAATCAATACTATCTACATATCCTACATCCATCTGTTCTACCATACACACCACCTGCCTACACTTCCTCCAGCAATGTCCCTAATGTCTACAAACTGGGTGGCTCTTGAGTGCTGCCTTGAATTATGTCACGAAACCCATGCAAGTACATGTACTACATGGCAAAGAAAATGGTCACTGATACTTGAATCTAGAAAATCCATCATAAAGCTGATGAAACGATGAACTATGGCTGCAGGTTCCCCACCCGTGACCTATAGCATTGCCCCCATATTTCTTACAGTAGCCACGGAAGGAATTCCAGGTGCTGGGCAGGTACGTGTGCTGCACAGAGGCGCCCTGCTGCTGCGGCTGGAGAGCCTGGCCTTGTGCGGATGCAGCGCCCTGTATGTGGGAGGGGCTGAGGCCCTGCTGAGACTGCTGGGCCGAGGGGCTCAGAGGCTGCCCAGCTACCTAGAGAGAAGGAGAAAGCAAGAGCAGAGAATTATGAATGCCCAATATGGTTAAGACTCACAAATAACTGAAGAAAATCAATCAGGCTAAACTGAGTTACAATATTCAAAGTACTATTGCTAAAATAATAATATTTTAAATACAAGCAGAATTAATGAAAAGTAATCATAACAATAAAATCCTACTTAATCTTCAAAGGATTATCTCCAAGGGTATCCAAAAATTAATTTCAGAAAGCTTATTAGAAGTTAGTTAAATGAAAGTAAATATAAATTATCTATATTACATGAAGTTAAAATAATTGAGAAGCTAATAACTTGCTTGTGCCATGGAGCTAATCTGTAACACAAACTGAAGTCACAGCTCCCGTCAAAGTGTCCTGACAGCCCCACAGAGTCAGTGGAGAGAAACACGGGGACATATGCGGACATCCGTGCAGACGCTGCCCCTGTCGCCCAGGTAAAGCCCGAGCTACCCCTCTGCCATTCACACCTGCCATGCTCCAGAGCCAACCTACCTTCCCAACCTTTCCCCCAAACCACATTTCCTGTATCCAACCTCAACAGTTTTCTATAATTATACCACAATTCCCCATCTCTGTGTCTGCATTCAAATTAGACCATGTTCAAATCATAATGCCTTCCCCAACAACCACGTCAAAATCATACCTCTCCTTCAAGACCTGCCTGATTCAAACACCACTTCTACAAAAATGTCCTTGATTCCCTGCTGACCATAACCTTCTGAACTCCCAGGACTTGTCCGCATGTCCACAGGGCTCTCGGACCCGGGCAAGAGGGACCTCTGCGGGGATCTCGGTTGGCCCTTCTCTGGCTGTGCCCCTCCTGCTCCCATGAGGCCAAATGAACGTGCCCACCTGGAATGTGTGTCCCCTCCCAGGCCTCGCTTTGGGGGCCAGAGCCCCCATTCCCTGTAGAAATGGCCCTGCACCCACTGCAGGGCCTTTATAAGCCTCTTCCTTGGGTCTGTACTCCACCAGGGTCCTGGCTTCTGGATGTGGACCGCTCTGAGGCATTTGGGCCCCCGAGACCTAGGAGGTGGTCGCAAGATCGCCGCTATTTGCAGAGGTGCAGACAACCACGGGATTGCCATATGCAGGGCTGCAAAGCTGGCATGTGGGTCAGGGTGTCTGTGTGGGTACTCGGGGCCCTGGGAGGTGCAGGGCAGACCCTGGGTGAGAAGAAAGGGGGAGTGGCCCTGGGGAGGTGGTCCCTGTGCTATCAGAGTCCAACAAGGAACTCGGCGGGGAACCTCCTGGCCCTCAAGCCTCAGGTTTCTTTGAGAGACTTAAAAGTGTGCTGCTAGTGGGGGTGGGAAACCTGGGGCCCCTGGGGAGAGAGGCCACCTGTACTGGGAGAGGGAATGAGAAAGCTCACGCTGGGAGAGGAGGGTGGCGAGGCGGCTGGGTGGCCCCCTCTCTACCACGCCTGCCCCCAATAAACAGGAAAGTAGAGAATGCACATGTGTGGCCCCTGCATCCCTACAGTAACTGGAAGGGCGAAGAGCTGGCAAAAGAGGGAGAAAGCCTTCCTCCCAGCTTCTTCCTGCGAGAGCTGGCAGCTGCTAGTGCCATCCATGGCGTTCGGCAGGAAACACAATTAACTTTGAATTGACACCATCCATGAACCATGTTATTTAGTATCAACTGCTACTTTACTTGTATTTCCCAAATTTGTCATTATAAAAGTACGTGTGTCAAGTAGGAAGCTAGAATGTATTTTAGTTAATGGTTGGTCAGCTTAATTCAAGACTTGTAAGCACTCCAACACATGGCATGTGGGTTGTCATTCGTACCCTCACCCTGGACCCTGCAACTGTCGGGGTGGGCCTGCGAGCACTTCCACGGTACAGTACCTTCCCTTCACATCCTGTTACGTGCACACTTGTGCCATCTCCCTACTAGACTCTAAGCTCCTTGAGGACAAGACCTAGGAAAGTTTCATGCAAACAATAAGGATTTTATAAGTTTTTTTAAATGGATCTAGCTAGGCTATCTTGATAATAGAATCAATATAACAAACAAATAATACTATTCAAAGTCACTGTTCTGAAATTATAGAAACAACTTAGCAGTTGCATTCTATTACCCGGCCATTAAGAACAGGAAGCAAAGACCGTGTCATCTCTAGGACATTGTATCAGAGGGCTGCATGTGGATAGAAGCCAGTCACTTAATGTGTGTCCATAATACCAATGTAAGAATTAAAGTCCAAAACAGCAACATCATTTCAATAGTCAAGGAGACTAGGTCTGAAGATAACGTCTCTTCACTCACTAACTTTTCGCCTGAGGCCACATTAACCCCTGTGAACAGTTCTCGGAGCTGTGTACCTGGGAGGATGAGGCAGCTGCGGCGGCGGGCTCGGTGACCTGGATGTGCTGCACCTGGATGGCGTGCTGGGTGTAGGTCTGAGGGTCATGGAGCTGGCCCACGTCCACGGTGGACTGCTGGGACTGGTGAGGGGAGGTGGCCTGGAGGGTGGGAAAAAACAAATACATTCCAATGGAGGTTATGGGGAATCTTTCCAGAGAAAAAGGTTGGCTAAACCAATATCCCAACAGAAATACAAGAAGAGATAGAACTTGAGATCCGGGGCTTCCTCCCAGATAGCTCACCCCTAAGCCAAGCTGGCAAACACTGGAGAGAAAGAGAGTTTTTAAAATTAAGCTCATAAAACATAAGCCACTAATACTATTAAATTCTGAAAGAAAAGGAACCAAAAGAAATATGGCTTTTAATAATAAGCAGCATGAGAAGCTCTCAGGAATTGAAAATCTTTTTCTCTTAAATTTCAATTAAATTTAATGACCTACTCTTTATGAGTTAAAAGACATCAAAGAAGAGAATTTGCTTACAGCCTGGCACTATTAACCCACCAGAACAGTGGTTCCTAACCTTTCACGCATCACAGACATCTTGGAACATTGGGCTGAAGTATGAACCCTTCCCCAGAACCACGTGCACACACTTCATATTACACGAGCAAGCCCGGGGAGTTGCAGGCTCCTCCCAAGCCTAAAACGAAGAGCCCTCCCGTAAGAAAGGCGAGATAAAGGTCAGGGCCATGCGACTTCCAGTCTCCTACTCTGGTGTAAGTGTCCAGTTTTCGGAGACCAAATTATTTCAAAGCAACAACTCTTCAGTTGGGCCTGCAGGACACCTGCTCAGCATAATTAAGTGAAACCGAGTTCTGGGGGCTCTTTCTTCTGGCTCCCTGATCAGCAAGAACGAGCTACTGATTCCTGGTAGAAGGAACACAGTTATACACTTAGATCAGCAATTCTCAACCTTTTTCATCTCACAGCCCACATAAACTCATTACTAAAATTCTGTGGCACACCAAAAAATGTTTATTTTGCCGATCTGACAAAACATAGGTATAATTTTGATTCATTCACCCAGGATGGCTAGTGTTGTATTGACTGCTGTCATTTTTTATTTGACAATCTCAGGGAAAAGAGATCAGTGCCCCTGACTAATTCAGCCCCATGCTATTTAGCCATGCATTACATGTTTTAAAACTTCTTGTGGCACACCAGTTGAAAATCACTGGTCTATGTAATAAGGTATTGACCAATATTCAAAGATTGGGTCAAAATGATTCTTTACAACCTCCCACTGATGTAAGCCACCTGATGCCTAGGTAAGGGCTTATCAGACTAGCTCCTCACCACGTAACGAACCTGGGTGATCAGGGTAAGGACTCAGAAGAGGCTCAGAAAGGGTCTGCACGGGGACGGTCCTGCAGCAGCACCACTGACAGTATGTGCCGGAGTCTGAACTCTCGGGACTGCTCTAGACAGAGATCTCTGATGCTACTAAGTCCAGAGCCCTTTGTAGGCTGTGGCAGGGAAGTTGTATAATGCCTTAGACTCAGAGTTTACACACAGAAGCCCACTGCATTGATAGGCAGAGTCCCACACCAGCTCTGGGAGCCGGCTGCTTTGGTTAGCCTTGGTGCCCTATTCGCTGGTGACAATATGGCATTCACGCAGGTCAAGGGAAATAAACGCAGTCCAGTACCGGGGCCACTTGCACCACTTGAAGCTGAATGTGCTGAGGCTGCTGAAGACCAGCTGTGGACTGTGACACAGGGATGTACTGGATCCTCTGGTAGTCCCCTTGCGGCGTTCGGTAATCTGTTGTTAAGGTCTGGGACAGTTCTGTCATGGCTTGAGTCAGCAGGTCTGTCGTCTACAAAATTGACACAAAACACATTAGTTGATAACGGTACTTCAGAGCTCTTAAATCCTACAGAAATTTAATTTGTATCACTGGTGGATCATGGAACTTACAAATTAGCCCTGAGCTCACATGGAAAAAATTCCAAAATGAGGAGATGATGGAAGATTTCCTATATATCTGTATCTCTCTGTCTATGTCAGGCCCCACAGAGTTAGCCTCAAGGTCCTAACAACCTTGCAGCCAATGAGCAGCACTGGAAATTTCTTTTTTTAATTATATTTTCTTGATTATGCTATCTCCTAATTTTTACCCCTTTGCTCCCCCTCCACCCAGCATTCCTCACTCTCTCAGGCAACCCCCCCACCGTTGTTCATGTCCATGGGTCATGTGTATAAGTTCTTTGGCTATTCCATTTCCTGTACTGTACTTTACATCCCCATGGCTATTCTGTAAGGACCTATTTATACCTCCAATTATAGGTAATAATAATCTCACCTTTTCACCCATTCCCCTAAACTCCCCTCCTACCTGGTAACCATCAAAATGCTCTCTGTATCCATGATTCTGTCTCTGTATTTGTTTTCTTAGTTTGTTCTTTAAATTTAATTGTTGATAGGTTTACATTTTTGCCATTTTATTGCTCATAGTTTTTATCTTCTTTTTCTGAAACAAGTTCCTTTAACATTTCATATAATAATGGTTTGGTGATGAGGAATTCCTTTAGTTTTTTCCTGTCTAAGGAGTTCTTTAACTGCCCTTTGATTCTAAATGATAGCTTTGCTGGGAAGAGCAATCCTGGCTGTAGGTCCCTGCTTTTCATGACTTTGAATATTTCTTGCCAATCCCTTCTAGTCTGCAAAGTTTCTTTTGAGAAATCAGCTGACAGTCTTATGGGAATTCCCCTGTAGGTAACTGACTGATTTTCTCTTGCTGCTTTGAGATAGTCTCTTTATCTTTAACCTTTGACATTTTAATTACAATGTGTCTTGCAGTGGGCCTCTTTACATCCATCTTGTTTGGGACTCTCTGTGCTTCCTGGACTTGCATGTCTATTTCCTTCACCAAATTAGGGAAGTTTTCTTTCATTATTTTTTCAAATAGATTTCCAATTTCTTGCTCTTTCTCTTCTCCTTCTGGTACACCTCTATCATGCATATGTTGGATCTCTTGAAGTTGTCCCAGAGGCTGCTTTATACTATCTTCATTTTTTTAAATTCATTTTTCTTCCTGTTATTCTGATTGGTTGCTTTTTGCTTCCTTATGTTCCAAATCATTGATTTGATTCTTGGCTTCATCTACTCTACTGTTAAATTGTTCTTTATTTCAATTAGTGTATCCTTCGTTTCTGACTGGATCTCTTTTTATGCTGCCGAGGTCCTCACTAAGTTCCTCGAGCATCCTTATAACCAGTGTTTTGAACTCTGCATCTGATAGATTGCTTATCTCCATTTTGTTTAGCTCTTTTTCTGGAGTTTTTTTCTGTTCTTTCATTTGGGCCATGCTTCTTTGTCTCCTCATTTTGGCAGCCTCCCTGTGTTTGCTTCTATGTATGAGGTAAGCTGCTTTGACTCCATGTCTTGGTAGTGTGGTCTAATGTAGTAGGTGTCCTGTAGGGTCCAGCGGCACAGCCTCCCCTATCACCCAAGCTGGGTATTCAAGATACACCCTTTGTGAGGGCTACGTATATCTTCTGCTTGAAGTTGAGGCTTGGCTGCTGTCAGCAGTTCAATGGGAGGGATTTACCCAGGCCAATCAGCTGTAAGAACTGGCTATGACCACTTACCACCACCCTCTGCTCTCCATGGGGGGTCAGTTGTGCAGGGGCAGCGTGGTGGTACTCTGATGTGGTCTATAGCTGTCCACTGGGTTCACTGGCCCTGGGGTTTCCCAGTTAGTGTAGGCCATGGTCAGCCCCAACCTTCGTTTTGCCTGAGGCACCCTGCCTGAGCTATAAAGCAATCTGTAATGGCTGCCACTTGTGCTGGGCTTGGAGATTCCCAGGCAAAGCTATGAATTTAGCCTGGCTACTGCTAGGGCCAGGCCTGTGGCTGAGGCCAGCTGTTCCTTGTTTGAGACGATTTAGGAAGTTATGAAGCATGAGCCATGATCAGTTATTCATATGGAAAAGTAGCTTGGGTGGGCCTGTAAGTTGGGCGGGGCAGAGTCTCTAGGGATCTCCAAGGCAGGTCAAGCTGTATTAGCCAGATTGACGGAGTCTCAGATATGGTGCCAGCTTGCTGGCTCCGTTCAGGGAGGGTTTAGAAAAGGGACAATGGCCTCTGATCGCCTTGATGCCAGACACTTCAGTTCCTCCCTGTATACCACTGGTGCCTTTCAAGCTGCTACTCCGGTGCTAGGGAGTGAGTCTGAATAGATGAGTCCATGTGTGGGTTCTTTAAGAGGAACTGCTTGGGGCTCCAGCAGTCTCTTCCACCAACTCAATCCCTGCTGATTTTTGCAGCCAGAAGTTGTGGAGACTTATCTTCCTGGCACTGGAACCCTGGGCTACGGCACCTAGTGTTAGGCTGGAACTCCTTACTCCAGAGATATCCCTCCTGAATTTTTATCCACCACACGTGGGTGAGGGACCAGGCCTCTGCACATCTTCACCCCTCCTACCAGTCCAGATGGACGTGGTTTCTTTAATTCCATAGTTGTCACACTTCCATTCAATGTAATTTCTGATGGTTCTGAGTGGTGGTTGTTCTATTTTAGTTGTAATTTTGATGTAGTTGTGTAAAGAGGCAAACCATCTCTGTCTATGCTGCCATCTTGACTGAAAGTTCAGCACTGGAAATGTCTTGCTACCCCTTTCACAGAGGAGACCCAAGCATAAGCATCATAAGCACAATGGGCTACATCTGCAGCCAATAACAAGCTAGACCTGGCTCTGGCATTGAAAGGCATGCAGAGCACTCAAGGCGATGCAGTGAGCTGACCAGTCCCGCACTTACCACCACAGTCTCTCCCGTGGCACTGTCTGTGGTTAAAACGGCGGGAGCGGTGCTGATCACGGCTGTCGTCAAGGGTGTGTGCAAAGCGTTAGGGAGCTGGGCATACTCTGGGTGCTTCTTCCGAATGTGTTGTACCATCTTGGTCTGAAAAAGCATGGCAAAAACCAAGGATAATTACTGGAATTAGTCATTTTCAGTCTTTCTCACATGCAAACCCTGCAAATGTTCCTAAAGTCTCTTATGTTATCCATTTTTTAAAAAACCAGAGTGATGCTGACTCTGCCCTTTCTAAAGAGGCACAATGCTATGAAAGAGGGGAAAAAGATGAAGCTGAAGAGAAATTAAAGAATCACGTGACCCCACACCGTCAGGCAAGGTAGGAATACCTCCTCCCGCCCCCACACCCTCTAGTCCCGCCACCACTTGCAGCAGTCAATCATAAGACCCGCAGCCACAACCACCCCCTTTCCAAGAACCATCACTCGAGTTCTCATCTGGTCTTTCTGGAAGACTGCACTCATGAGCCGTGAGCGTAGACTGTGCCCATAGGAGACCCTCAGGGGGCGGGCCAAGGATCAAGGAACCTAGTCATGTGCTCAGGCCACCACATAGTGCTCATTCTGGGGAGAGGCCCCCACAGGCTCTTCCTAGCCTGACCTGAGGACACAGCGCCTTAGCACCTCTGTCAGCCCCCATCAAGTCAGGAGCCGTCAGAGCATCTGGCAGAAGGCACCTTCTCCCAAGAGTCATGAAACCGTGGCCTTGGTCCCAATTGGTCAGACACCGTCCCTTACCTTGCTGCTGTACTGTTTGGAGCAGTGGGGGCAACAGACGGGAGGGGTGGCTATTGTGCCCGTGAGCTGGGTGTGGGTGCTCAGCATGGGGTCAGGTTCTCCGGGGCCCGCAGGGCGCAGTTTCCGAATGCTTGGCGGGAGCTCAGCCCCAGGGTGATTCTTCAGAATGTGGGCTTTCCTCTTGCTGGCACTTTTATAAACCTGCAAATTCAAATGCTTTGCCGTGACAGCAGTATACAGTTCCACTTTCCTGCTTAAACCAAACCATCTAACAATTTCCTTACAAGGAAATGAGAAAGAGATGAGTGTAGCCCAAGATAAAATAGATACCATGTAGCCCCAAATAAGCAGATCTAATGAGAGATAATAAGGATGTAACACAGATCAGAATAAATTAAGAACCTCATCTAGATATGCCAGGCATCTTCCCTGAGCTTGTATCTCTAAGACAGCAGTAGTAAAACCAGCCTTCACCCTAGAGTTTAAGAGGTGGATGCGGTGTCACGGAGAGAGAGCCGTCTCTAAGGCCAGGGCCTCCTTTGGCCTGTCTGCGGCCACCCTCATGTGATGCATATGTCAACAGCTGACCACCAGGTGCCAGGGGACCTTCCAAAATGGGAAGTCCAACAGCAACGAGCACCTGCAGTGGTGGATCTATGCTGGAAAATGCTTACGTTTAAGCTGACACAGCTACATTGTGTGAGGAAACAATCTTACAATGAAACAACAAAACATGGGCTGGACTCTGTCATTTTTGTAACTGTACAAAAATAAAGAATGAAATAGTACAAATAGAGTACTCCACCACAAGACTTTTTCATTTCCTACTCAGTCTTCTGAAAATCCAAACTCCATCATGTATTTTACAAACTGGGTGCTTAGAAATTTTAAATGAATCCATGTACTAAGCTCTTGGTAATAAGACTCTTCTTTTGTAATAAAAATCACAGACAGAATGAACAACACGTAAAACCAAGTCCACTAATTCTGAAGAAAAAACGATGGCTTGAAATGAGGCCACACCTCCTGCCCTTGCTTGTGGGAACAGAAAAACACTGAGAGACAAGCAACCATCCATGGAGAGTGGCTGCAAGGCCCCGGCACGGAGTCCTGCATGCAGACCAGCTGGCTTCGGCGGGGCTCCCACTGGGACGCCCTGCGGAGGGCAGCTTCCATTTACCTTATCACAGTACTGACAGAAGTAATCGCGGTTGGGTTTTATGATGGGCAGAGTTAACTCTGGCACCTCTTCTATCTTCATGTCCGGGTGCCTCTTTGATAAGTGGTTTACCTGAAGGAAAAGAGAAAAATAGACCCCATGAGGAACAGAAGCTAAAGGGACGTCTCTGACAGGGACTGTCGGAAGCTGACATTCTCTGACGCGGTGCCCCAAACGAGACAGCATCTGGCCAGAGCCAGCACTGCCAGGCCCACCTGACACCAAGGCATGCACAGCCACTGTCAACAGGAATTCAGCAAGTTACTGAAGGGGAACTGGGTCACTGCGGAGCCCACTAGTAGTCTTTGATGAAAGGATGGCTATAGGAAAAATGAAAGTTCCGAAGCAGGAATTTCTTTGGTGAACTCCCAGGATGCAAACCCGCCTTTCATTAGTTCATGCCCTAACTTTAGAGAGGACCCCGAACGAGATAAAAAGTAAGGGCCTGCAGTTTAGATAATGCTCCACGACTCCAGCCCCTGGTAGAAATACAAAGTCCTCACTTAACGTTGTCAGTAGGTTCTATGACTTCAAGCAAAACAACGTGTAACAAAAACCAATTTTACTACAGGCTAATGGACAGGAACAAGAATTAAGTTCCTCTTGGCATCTCAGCAGCATTATAACAAAACTACGTTAGCTATTCGAGGACCCACTCACTCTGGCTGCCCTGAGGTTTCAGCTAACCTGGCCCGACCCTGCTTCGGTGAAAACTTGCCTCCCGTTGCTGTCTCCCACCCAGAAAAGAGAGACATCAAGGAAACAGTCGGGGAGAAGGCAGAGACCCCACAGGAAAGTTACATTCAGGGACACAAATGAGAAGAGGGAAATAAAACACGGTAAGACCAGAGACTGAGAAGAGTAAAACAAGACAATGTAATGAAAAATGATAGCTATAGACCTCTTCCAATGAACTGTGGCAAAGGAGGACGAACGGAGACTGGGAAGGACAGAACTCCCCATCGGGAACTGTCTGCCCCTGGTTTTCCCCCTAGCCATGGACAAAACGCACTGACGAATCCGTACAGAATGTGGTACAAGGGCCGTCACCAGGAAACAGAAATGGACAGAGTAGAGGACGACAGGCGGAACCCAGAGCCACAGGGCACTGACCAGCATGCCTCGTCTCCGGAAGCCCATCATGCACAGGCGGCACTTGAACGTGAAGCTGTCGTAGTCGGTGGACGTGATACGAGGCTTGAAGGTCTTGGAGCGGCTGATGCGGTCTGCTTTCTTGGCCTCCCGCTCAGGATTGTGCATTCTTTGCATGTGTTCCCGCAGTTTGTCTTTTCGCTGTTGAGAGAAGATTTTTGAAAAGGCAGGGAAGTGAGAAGCGGGGACAGAAATTTTTAATTGCAGGGGTATAAAAAAAACTCAATGGAAGTTAGTGACCACAACCTACCAAGAAGCATCTGAGGGGCTACGGCAGCGCTGGGACGCACAAGCACACAGCCAGAGTGACTAGGAATGACCTCGTGCATCCCACTGAGCCTTCAATTTGAAAGACACTGATGTCTGAGAGAAGAAAAGGCGTCTGCACTTACGTAGAAAAGATCCAAGGGCACACGGGGTAAGTCTGGCAGTAAGAACTACAAGACGATTGATAACGAATGGTAGGGACACTGGGTTTACGAAGCCCTGTGTACACTCTCTCCCCACACGTTTAACAGACATGATGATATTCCTCTAAATCCGAAATGAGTTTAAGTAAGGCTGTCTTATCGCTTGGATTTGGAGGTTCAAGTGAACAATTCCACGGTTTGCTATGGACAGAGCGTATGGTCCAGGTCCAGTCTGAGGATCTAATCTAGTGACATATGTTGATGTGAATCCATAGGGAAAAAATCAGGCAGAGCCCATCCTGAATAAAAACAAAATTTAAACAATGCCAGCTCCCTTATCTAGTGAGGCTCTGCCCTTGGGCACGAGATTAAACCGTTCCTTAGGAAGATTCTGAACCTTTCTGCCATACCTTTGCAGCCTTGATGTCCGGGTCAGATGCAGAGGTTCCAGAGCATCCCTGCTCTCTCTCACTCAGCCACCAGCTCCCTTCCTGACCACCAGCCTGCTGGCCCAGTCCATGGCCACTACAACATGCAGCAACACACCAGCTCTCCCTCCCAGGCCCACCCTGCAGTTAGAAGTGTCCGGGTTTCCAGACCCCCAAGTTCCCATCTGTGCGCCCAGACCAGGCAGGCTTTCACAAAGGCGCGTTGACGACCTTTCTCTGATCCTCAGCTCCGCCTTTCAGACTCTTACTTCGCCATCTTCTCCTACAACTAAGGTCTTCTTCCTACAGGAAAATCCCTTATTCCATAATACTCAGAGTGGTTTGGCTCCTCTAACTGAATCCTGTCTAATACATTGGATGGAAGTAAAATAGAAGCAGAAAAGTTTTTTTATATATGCCTAGGTGCTAAAGTGGTATCTGGCACAAAATAATCAAAAACTGTTAAATGGGTAAGATGGACAGCCTACCAGCTGGTACCACAAACAGGGATCCTAAGACAAGTTGGAGAAACCTAGGCGCATTTCCACTTTTCACACTAGTCCTTCACAGAGTTCCAAAGCATGTATTACACATGGAAAGCCATGCAATGATACTCCCTAACGCACGTGCCACAAAGCTTAAGCTTTGAAAATTATTTCTGCTCTCTTTAATGTTGCCACATTCTATACAACTGCACCCTTGTGAAATTATTTTTCCCCTCTGAGCCCACTTCTGACTTTTTTCCAGTTTCCATGACAACACGACCTACAAACATATTCAGTGGGTGTCCCTCAACGACATCTTTGTAGAATCATCTGATTTCCCGATGAAGCATTTTTTATTGTTTTGACTTCTGTTTGTTTAACTCATATCCCTGAGTCTCCCACGCTTTTTTCCTTTGCTTCCTCTAAATTCCAGGCAGGTCACTGATTTCATTTTTTTATCCTAATCCCTGGAGTCATGAACATTCCCCAGAGTAACCGAAGCCCTCCCCACACCCTACAGAGTTGCTGCCTCTGTCAGGACAGCCCTGCCACCTTCAAGACTCAGTTATCAGGCCCTCAGACTTAACAAGTGCTCAGTAAAATTCTCTTGATTTGATAAGCAAATGGATTGTTCACTTAGGAATTCCTCAACAACAATTTAGTTCTACTCATCATACATTTAGATTCTCTTAGGAGATGCATTATCACTCTCTTTGGGGATTTGAATTAAAAAATTTGGGAAATTAAAGTAAGTTTCTTCCTTAATTTGATCGTAATAACTAACACAAACATGAGTTCTTTGAAAGTAGGTGATAAGCTGGTGAAACAAACAGGCGCTGATCCTTTACCGGGCGTGACCACAGGGGCCCTGGGAACCAGCCCGGCTGCTCATCGCTCACACACCTTAAATTGCTTCCCACACGTAGAACACAGGAAATCTTTGCGGTCTGAATGTCGCAGCATGTGGAGTCGCAGTTTGTCAGGACGGCAGAAGGCCTTGTCACACTCGGTACACTGGTAGATCTTTTCTGAGTGGAAGCTGCGCACGTGTTTTTTCACCTGGCAGTGAAGACAGAAAAAGGGTATTCAGGCACCAAAGGGAATGACAAAAGGCAGCTCATCAACACTAGAGGGCGCCCAAAGCATTGCCATGGACTTTGTCAACCAGGTGGTGTTTTCCAATCCGCTGTGATTGACAATTTGGCCTCCACAGGCCACACACACACACACACACACACACACACACACTCTCTCTCTCTCTCTCTCTCTCTCTCTCTCTCTCTCTCTCTCCCCCCCCCCATCCCTACCACAAAGTGACAAAATAAGTAGCCAGAAGCCTTACAAATCTCAACCTCCCATAGGACTTGAAGAGGAGGAAGAAAGCATGCAAAACCCTGATTATGTGGAATCCACTTTCTTTTCTTTCTTTTTTTAAGATTAAAAGCAGAGTTCCCTAGGACTTAAATGAATCTTGCTTAAAAAAAAAATCCCTACAGAAGACAAAAAATCATTCTTTCTTACTTTTCCCTACCTCCAACTTGTACAGAAACAATTTAGCCCCTTTCAGTAATAGGTTCTATCACATCTGTCTATATAATCAGGTTCTGATGAAGTAAAGACATGAATTGGATGATATAAAACACATTCCCCATTTGTGAGGACAAGCCGACGCCAGCATATGTCCCCTTCACTGGGACTTACTCCCTGTACTTTTAGGTAATTTAAATAAAGGCATATGGCCTTGAGCTCTCTTAGCCATTGATCTCCAAAGAAGCATTACGGGAGGGGGCCAGGCAGTAAGTCACAGCAAACCACTCCTAAAAGTCAGTTTGCTTCATTACTGTTTTTTGCCGGTAGAGTCTGCCTTAGGGCAACTTTTCTCATCGTTTATGTGAAGCAATAAAATTACCAAGACTTCCAACACTAGCAGAACTGTGATTAAATCATAGACTACTTTTGCTTTGGAAATTTTTTTTAAAAAGACTATTTTTACTAGATATTTAGATTAAATTATTCACTGACCAGCCTATGACAATATCATTACTCGGAATCCAAGTGAAATCATAAATACGTGGGAATTTGTCCTCGCCCATTTTGCTCCAGAACACAGTACAGGGAAGGAGACCAGGGCTCAACACCAAAGTATATTATGTAACAACTTTCTCTTTGTTTTCCTCTGAAGGACCTTAGTGAAACAGAACAGGAGAACAGTGGCAGGAAGACAATGTCCCCAGGCCAGGAAATGGGAGCAAATGTCTTCAATCTTTGCCAGTACCCGTTTTTTAAACATTGTAATCAGATAAGAGTGTTTATTACTTGTCATACTACTTAAATGTTTAAGTGCCAGTGCCTGATTTGGGCAATTAAGAAGGTTATTTAGAAGGATCATAATAACCTTGTGGTTAACAAAAGCATTTTGATTGAAAAAAATTCCTCTCAACTGTGAAGCTGTGACAAAGAAGAGATGAAAATGCAGGTGGCAGGCAGTCTCAATTTCACAAAAACCCAGTTTCTGTCACCAAATGAAGGAAACATGCAGCAATGTCAGTAGCAGACACTCACCTGGATAAAATCTGGGAACCGCTTCTTACAAGTGGGGCAGGTGAAGTAGCCATCATTGATGTGAATGGCCACATGATCTTTCAACAGATCGAGGCGGTCGAAGGACTCTGGGCAGAAAATGCAAGAGTAAGTCTTCTGGTCTGAATGGAGCTTCATGTGGCTCTCCAGGGACGCGCTGCTGATGAAACCCTTGTTGCAAAGGTCGCAGGTCAACGGGCAGTTCCCCTCCCGCCCGTGGAAGCGCAAGTGCTGGTCCAGTTTGTCCTTTTCCCGGAAGGCCTTCCCACACTGCAAGCACTTGAACGGCCGGAAGGACTTCCGAATAAACAGATGCTGAAGAGCTGCGTTCTGAAAGACACACACAAATGTGATTATTTAGTGAGGAAATTAAATGTGTGGCTCGCACATATAGAGAGAAAGAGGATGATCTCTGCCATCGCAGAGTTCCCATAGAAATGAAACTTAGGACACACACTTGAAAAAAGACTTCTCTGGTGAGACATTAAAAATGAAGCCATCTCAAAGAAGTTCATCTTGAAAAGACAAACGTTTTCTGTGTTTTTGCATCTATGTATATGTGTTTTCTTATGAAAGGACTTAAGTAATATTCAAAAAACATATTTCTAATAGAGGACTTGTCCGAGAAAACAAATCCCAAAGTGACAGAGACCAAAAATTGAATATTCAGGAGAAATGACGTGGGATAAGTTGTACGTGCCTGAGTGAGGCTGGAGCAAGCCAGCCAAATGTTACTTCTGCAAGTCCTTGAGAAGAAGAGTTCGAAGCTCAGTTAAAATGTTCAGCAAAATAAAATGTGGTAAGGAGAAGAGGTTGAGGGTAGTACTTGCTGGGGGCTGGGTGAGGGAGACGATAGTAAGGGGGCTTCTTTGGAGGGTGACGAAATGGTCAGAAATTAGATGGTTCAGATGGTCACATAACTGTGGGAATATTCTAAAAACCACCATAAAGGGTGATTTTTATGGTATGCGAATAATGTCTCAATTTAAGAAAACAGAATGGAAAGAGAAGCAAAGGATACAGATTTACGTGAACATGTGTGTTCACAGGATAAGGCATATGAGCACGCATCGTCACTGGGGCGTGTGCATCTAATCAACCCCGGCTTACAAAACGCAGAGGACAAGTTCCCGATGTAGCTAGTTAGATCCATGGTTAGAACGCCGTGCTAACCAAGTCAGGCCCATCACCTCGCTCCCTGTCTAGACACCTCGGTTCTGCCCCCTCGCCCTTCTCAGTCGCAGGCTGCACTCCTCACGTTGATCAGCCAGTAAATTCACGCAGGTGTTACTGAGAATCCAAGTGAGAGCGTTTGGATGCTCAGTGCAAACTCATCACTACCACTGGAAAAACAACTCATACTCTATGAGAGCAGGTGAACAGAATCAGCTTTCACACAGATAATACAGAATCAATACTTTAGTTATATTATAATGAAGCCTCAATTCACAAAAATATGAAAAAAATCCCTCGAAAAATATATATTTGAATGGGCATGATTATATAAGTATAAGGGAATAGTAACTGAAGGATTAGTGGAGCTCCTAATGCATTATTTGTGCAATAAGAAAAGTACGATGAACAAGGTTTAAACCCTTAATTTCAAATTACTTACAAGCAACAACTTCTAAACTAAATTTGATGTAAAGTAACCATTTAGGGAAAAGCAAAATAATTTTTGATTTCTTGAAAATTCTGAACCTCGTTACTTTACAACAGAAAACCGTCTCAGGGCTCCTCACCCAGGGGGAGGAGAGGCGCACACGACTGGTACGTCTTGAGGAGAGAGCCAGTAATTCTCGTCCCCCCAGGCTGACGGGGATGCTGCTGGGCTGCACTGGGGTTCATTCTCCTTTGCATCTAGAGCCCTTAGAAAATACCTTATTTCACACGGAGTGTTCAGTAAGTTTGACAATTAATTAAATGTATTTCATACAAAAATCAAAAAGAATTATTTCAAGATTCTTTTCTGTGGCATCTACAGAGATCTTTCAGAACAGACCTTTCTCAAATCAGTCACAGAGCTTTCTTTCACTCCATTGCACTGCTTAGCAGGTCCTAATCTTTTCACTCTCCAGAGCCTTACTTTACACAGAAGCTCTCAGTGTTTTGGTGACTTTTAAAATGTTATGGAAATATTGCAAATAGACAAATGCTCTGCCAAGGTTTGAGGTTCGGGGAGTCAAGATTCGGAATGCTGGCGGCATGTAAGAACCCCTTCCTCAGCCGCCCAGGTCGACCAGTTTCCCAGGGAGGACACAGCACACAACACCTGATCTCAGCCTCACTGGGGATTCCGTTTCTCCTCGGGTGCCAAACCTAGAAGGCAGTTTTGTCTCAATCCATTATGCTAATAAGTCTTCTGTCACTGCTGATTAGTGTGAGGGTTCTCAGACACTTGATTTAAACTGGGCAGCCACCTGGCTCCACTTTCCAAGTTTATGGACAAACCTTATTCTTATCAAATTTTTAATTTCCATGGAGCCCTGAATATGGTCTAAGTACTCAGAAACCAGATTGCATTTCTCTGATCTAATGATGCTAATGTAACCCTCACATCACAAGGCAGTGAGTGCTGAAACCACTCCAACCCCATGACCCGCCTGCAGGCCATTTCTACCCTCGGGTATCTTCTGTAGCTGAGAGCTACAGTCGGCACACTTTCCCAGGAGAAATCGTGAAACACTGTGAAGGCGGCCCAGATGGATCCACCACGGGTCTTCTGGTCCCCGAGTGACAGCCAGGCAACCACTCCACACTGGACGGCACACCAGCTGCTCTAAGGGTGCCCAAATGGTGTGGCAAAAATCTGTGACGAGGGACTTGACTTACAATGAAATGAAGTCTGAGACAACAGATTCTTTGCGAAGACCATAATATGTTTCTACAGTTCAATATTAATAGGTAAAGAAGCCTAAGTTATTGACTGATTTTCATATAATTTTGACCCTGCATTCAAAGCCCGGCCCAGTAGATCACACTCACTGCTGTCCCTCACGGGCGTCCCAGCCCAGGGCCAAGCCAGCATGCGCACTGCCCCGCAACCACACCGAGCACGTCCCTGTGTCTGCGCCTCCATCTGATGGCCGCCCTCCCTCAGAACAGCCAACCATCTTCCTGTCTCTCTTTCAAGGACCAGTTTAAGTCTCACTTCGTCTATGAATTACTCCCTGACTCCACCTTTTTTTCTTTTTCTTTTTCTTTTTGGCTTTTCACTCTATATTTCAGGCTATATTTTTTCAGGCTATATTTTTAAACATAGCACTGAACTGGAAGCCCTGTTACAGTAGCAACGTGTCCCCAATTAGACTGTAATTAGGTTCCTACAGGACGACACCCCATGACACTCTATGGTGTACACAGCACAGTGCTGAGCACGTGGTCGGAATGCAATACCACCCGTAAGTCACGCGCACTGTTCTGCAGCTGGAAGGGGCCTTGGAGATCACTTAGTCCAACCCTTCGTTTGGTACGTGAGGAATCTGCAGCCCACAATTTACTCGCTGATCTATTGGAAAATAAATCATCATTCTCCATTGACTAATTTGCATTTACTGTAGCAACCAAACTGTAGTTTCTACCAGGATTTAGTAAGTACAGGTTGCAGAGAACAGCAGGTAAGGCAAACACTTAAATAACGGTATGTAAAACACAGGAAACAAACCTACCTGCAGCTCCAACTGAGCAGGCAGCATTAGAGGAGAGAAAAATAGTTACATTACCAATTGGATTGGAGGACTTCCTTTCAGTTGGTCATTACCAACCTGGATAGAAAAGATGAAAAAAATACATAGCCCTACTTTTCAGAATGTGTGAGAGGAAAAAAATACCTAACTAAGACTGACCTCTGCAAAAGCCACATGCACACAGCCTTTGCTTTGACACAAGAAACCTTGTACCAAAACCAGTAACCCGACTCATTCAAGAATACAAGTACAGTCGTGGCCAGATCATGCTTGTGTATCTACAACTTCACTGTACATGTAGGCTTTAGTTTTTTTCCCCTCAAAAGAAATTACATCTAGGAAGTATTTCTATAGACTTAGTGAGAAATCAGAATGACCAAAGCAGAAAAGACAGTAATTGGTCAAAACAGCGCAATGCAGACTGGGAAATAATGTAGAATGAGGAATGGGAAGGTATTGGTTCATAGCTTTTTGCCTTTCTGGTCTGTATTTATATATGTTTATATGTCCCTTTGAAATGATATACATGAAGCCCAGAGTGCTGTGCGTTTCCACTGCAGGCGCCTCGCCAAAGCTATTCGGCCTCAGAGGGCGCAGAGCCCTTCAATGCTATCACATAGCTATGGATGTTTAAAGGCATTTTTACATGAAGGCATGGACTGGACTATTTTTCAAGGTCCCTTCTAGCATACAGGCAAATAAGACCAAAAGAAATATAAGCTGCACATATGCAAGTATGAAGACCAAGAGAAACATAAGCTAAAGCCATGATCCATCTAGAAACTAAACCCTGGAAAGTTATACAAAAAAGCCCTGTCATCCACACATCAAGTACTAATAAAAGTCTTTACACGCCCTGCTCGCAACCACAGGAGCTTAAGTAATTATTTCCTGAATGCAAACTGTCAGCCCAGGCACTTTCCTCAAACGCGTACAGTTCTCCACATGCATCCTGGCAGCTCCTAACTCAGCCTCGCTGCTGTCTGTGAAACCAGAACAAAACACATCCGCCCTGGAAGCCATGTGGCCTGAAGTCACCGTGCAGGTCACAGGGGTGAGACGCTGACCTCCCTGACCTAGAGCCTAAGGTCCAGCTGCCCCGGGTGTGGGGGTTGTACCTGCCATGTCAACTTGGACGCAGGTCCACTTTCTCTGATGAGTAACAACACTGGCCAGTCTCCCCTTGGAAAATGCACACAATGAAATGAAGTTACCCAACATGAACTTCAGAGCTACGATTGGCCATGGATTCGCCTGGCTTAAATGTAAATAGTTACCACCATTAAATGTACTTATTTCTCCATTTCCAACTTGTGAGTTTAGGGATCCAGAGCGCTGCCCTACCATAGCGAGACCCACCCAGGAGCTACCGAAAGCCCAGGAGCTTCTGTGCCCTCACTTAACAGATCAACTCTGGGGCCCGCCACCCAGCCTGCCACAGGACAAAAACACATTGAGAAACAGCTAATTCTTTCTCCCAAAGTAAGGGGATTGAGCGTGTAATAAGCTAGATGCAAGAATCTGAAGTGGATGGTGAATAAGCAGGTTGGAAAACATAGCATCTTTCCAGCTGGCTGCCTGGAGAAAGGTAGCACCTAGTGAGGCAGGGGCTCTGCTTCCCACTTACTCGGATGCGCTTGGCCCGGCGCATGTCATCGGCTGTCAGGGTGCTTGGGGTGGGCAGCACGCTCTCCTCATGCTGGGGCTGCAGGTGCAGGCTGTGAGCTTCCGACTCCTGCTCCAGAGGAGATGGGGTTTCCTGAGGCAGCTGAGGGATCGGGAGAGCGGTCTGTTCTGGTTGATCCAGCCCATTCAGAGTGGCTGGTTCAGCTTCATCAAACTGTTCCTTGGGGGAAAAATGTAGCAAATCCTGCAATTGCAATAACCAGGAATTATTTTCTTACCCAGACAGAGGTTAGTCCTAGAAGGACTGTCAGCTAAAGTTTAGAATTACTGCTTGTTTTTTAAATGGCTGGCGGCATAATGCTCAGAAAAAATATTCTCCTTCTAGGAAAGTTAATTAGATAACTATCCGTAGGAAGTAAAAACTACGATATATTCCAGATCGCTTCATGAGGAAAGGACTGTGACAGGGATCTCCTGGAGCATTATAATTTAATTTTTAAACTAATTAAACAGAGTCTTTCAATAATATCTCAAAAAAAATCAAATACTTAGGACAAGAAAGTAAGGGTTTTGTTCTCATTAATAATTGCAAATATACTTTTCTTTGCCTTGCCCTAGTCACACTGTAACTAACAGCCAGCCCAGGGCCGGCACAACAGGACTGTCAGCCTCTGAGGGGTATCTGCACCAAATCCAGCAGCACCAGTTCTGGTCAGTCCTCTAAGTGAGCACCCAAGCAGGGGCTCTCTCCCGTCGGCCCCAGTACCTGTGTGCCATCATCACACTTTTCCCCATTTTCACTGGTTATTTCCAAGCGGATAAATTTGGGAGGACGCCCTGGCCGTCGACCTGGGCCAAATCGCCTCTTGCCTCGTCCCCTTCCTCTGCATCTTGTTCTAGGGACAAGAGATCGGGGTTATAAATAGTGGTTTATTGGTTACATAATACTCCATAAAAAATATTTTCCCCAAATCTTGATTTTCCTCTCACTTTATTACAATATTCTTCCTGATTCTTTTTCTAATTGAAACCATTGTCTTTACTAGTACATACTTTCTAAATTTCTCATCTTTGCTGTATACACTGCTCAAAGAGATGTCTTAAATTATTCATAAAAAAAGGGAACTATAAAATTTAAAACACTGACACTATTTTGCTCCTGAAAAATCTGAAAGCTGGAACACATCTCTGAAGGGATGTGGGAAGTGCAGACAGGACAGGACACACTACACCTCAGTAGAGTATGATCCTTACAGACAAGATTCCGTTCTTTCTCCTCCCCTTGCCTCGCCTCAGATTCCTTCCAAGAAATGTGGCTTTCCAAGAGTCAAAAGAACTTTCTTGTTCCACTCTAAGCTTCTGACAGGCCAGAACAAATTTCTAATTTGACCATTCCATAATTGGCCTAGTAAATACCAAATAAACTTTATCCCTTTAATAGCGTTCTGTCATACAAACACTACTTAATATAAGGAATTCAGACAGTCCCTAAAACTTCTTTTAGAGGATGCATATGTGTGACGTGTATAAAATTAATCAGATCATGTTTCATTCTTCCACTCATCTATTTAATAATTGAACAAAAATTATGTTTTCCCAGGAAGTTTTAAAATATTTTTTTATAATGGAAAATTCTGAACCTAGGCAAATGTAGAGATTGCCATAATGAGCCCAAAGTAATGACTTAATTCCAATATTGTCAACTCATGGCCAGTTTTATTCCATTTATAACCCTACCACTTCCCCACACACATACCCATTCGATTATTTTGAAATAAATTCCAGACATCATTTCATCTATAAATATTTCACATGGATCTCTAAAATATACCTAAAATACGATGACACCATCACACCTAAAAAAACCACTGATAGTTTGCTTAGAATTATTGAATCTAGTCGAAGTTCACATTTTCCGAATTGTCTCAAATTTCTTTTACCAGCTGACTAGCCAGTAGTCAGCTACTGTGCATCAATGCACCACGCTAGGCAGGAAAGATAGCAAGTTGTGTGCCTCCAGTCTTGCTGTCCAAAGCCTAGCGAAAGCACTGGGCACATAAACCAGAATCATGATATAATGTAAAAGTGCTAATTAGCAGAGCCAGGAACAGACGTATATAGTCGACTTACCTCTCACTGTGTCCTCCACCCACCTCAGACATGTACTCCCCTGGTCTTACCCTTCGTCACCCTCAATAAGTGCAGCACCCCTATTATCTCAAAACTATGCTTTGCCCGCCCTGCCTGGCACCACCTCCTAACTTCCCAGCTCAGCCCATCTAATACGTGGACTCAACGATCCTTCCACCGCAATACCAACTCCAATCCAGTCCTCCGTCATCGGGTGGCAGTCCTCTGTCCTCTTGATGCTTTATTTCCCTTCATCCACAATAAACTGTGAAGTCATTCACTGCAGGCCCTGCCCTGTATATGCTCTCGACTTCCGTCCCCAGTGCTGCCTCATTCTCTTGCTGTGCTGTATGCACTTAGCAAACCATAATACTATGCAACCCAACTCTCTGCCCACATTGCACTGGCATTCCCACAGTGAATGAAGCTGGAAAATGACACACAGCCGTGCTAGTGGTCGCATTTTAAGTTCATGACCATGAACCTCAAGTTGAGTTCTTAGTGTTGCATGCAACCATACTGTACTTCCCTAGAACATTTACTTTCCCACTTCCCTGAACGCCACTCCACACCATCTCCTCCCTTTTCAAACCCTGTAAAAGTTGGCGACCCTACATCTGTCCCACGGGTACTTCCCATGGGCACTCTCCTGCTCCAAACCACTCTGGTTCTTCACCTGAACTGTTGACTCAGCATCTAGCTAAATTCCCTGTCTTCACTCTTGCTCCATTATCAGCTAAAATGTTTTTATTTTTATCCCGGGTGACATTTTGAAATATAATTGACATCACAATACTCCCAGATCAGTACGCTCTAAAGACTTCTTAGAATGAAATCCGAATTTCCTCCATTACCAAAACAACCTACCCCATCTGGCTCTGGCCTACCCTATCCTGTATGATTCTCCCTCATCTATCTTTTTTATATAGTGGAATTAAACATATAATGAAGGACCTTACTACTAAAAGAAGTTTGAAAATCAGAGATGCAGATTTTTTCAAAGGTGTACACTATCTCAAGAATTCATAGTTCAGAATCTTTAGTTAGGGAAGGTTTAACTAAGGTCAAAGGTTCTCCTACTGCTGGGTACTGGTTATGCTGGAAACGAAAGCAATGGGAACTGAGGATGGGGATGGGGTAGGAGTGGGAGTGGAAGAAGATAAGCAACTTCCGTCAGCAGCCTACCTGGTTACCTGTCCACACAGACAGACACACGAACACTCATTAGCTGGTAGGCAATACTGAAATGAGTCTGGACCTCGACCAACTAAGTTTTTGAAACCTTCCCCATCATTATACCTGCTAAATACATCCAGTTTCTCATCGTGAGAGTTAAGATGCTGTTGCAACTGCTCCGAGCTTATAAATCGGCGGTTACATTCGTAGCAGGGCCAGTTCTTCTCTTGCTCTCGAAGAACTGCAGTCACAGAAGAGAGATGACAAAGGCTGATGATCAACAGAAACCAGTAAACCTCCAAGATCCCAGTGCCCCCCCAGTCTCATGGCACCACAGCCCCGAGTTCATAAACATGCGGCGTCTGCTCTTTGCATTGCTGCTAAAAATCAGAGACTCAGGTTGGACAGAGAGCAGATTTTAGGACCTTCTTTTCTGGCACATTCTTGTAAGACACCAAAGGAACAAACACCCTTATACCGCCGTCTCCCGGCCACCCCCAATACTCACACACACATCACACTGGAAGGACAGAAGGCGCTACAACGAAAATCTACATTCAGATAGCCCAGTGATTCAGACACGAGCTTCATAATCTGAGGGTATATTTTATCACAAATAACTTGAAAATCAATGCCCAGTGTAACCACTCTGGCAAACTGTTCAGAGCTGACGTACATGCATGCCCTGGGAACCAGCAATTCCACTCCTAGAGGTACAGCCAACAGAAACACACACGTTTGCTAAGAGACGTACAAGAATGTTCACAGTGGCACTCTCCATAATATCCTTAAACCGGAAACCACCCTGCTGCGCAATAATGAATTTAGCCGGCTTTCTCCCTGGTTCCTGGGAAATGACCCCTAATTCTCTGGTCTTTCCCAAGTAAGATGTGTTCCAGCTGCTCACTGTAGTTGCTGACCATCCCTGCGTTCACGCTAATGAGGTGGCTGTGTCAGCGGCTGGCTGTGCCAGAGGCCCAGCCACCTGACTGCAGGCCACTCTGAGCGAGGTGCCAGCAGCCAGGGAGCGGGGCAGGGGCTGGAGAGTACATTCGACCACAGGGACAATGACACAGTTAGTCACACTGCGTAATGATACCTTCAGAGAAACCCTGGGCAGTGAAGCTCAGGTGAGCTGCCCTGGCTGGTAAGCAATGTCCCAGGGAGGTGACTTGGCATAAGGACCTACTTGGTATTCTATTGTATGAACATTCCACGGTTCACTTATCTGTTTTGTTGTAGATGCGAACTTGGGTTGTACAATGCAATTCTGACACTAACTACTTGAAGTCAGGTCACACAGCAATGAGAATAAATAAATTACAATACACAACACTATGGATGACTCTCAGAAACATAATACTGAGCAACAGGCATGCACCAAAAGTGCGCATATCGCACACTTCCATTTATGTAAAGTTCAGGCACAAGCACGCCATGCCTGTGGGTGGCAGTCGGGAGAGTCATCACACCTGGGAGTAGGGGGAACAGAAAGGTCTTCTGGGGCGCAGATCCTGCTGTCTCCCAATCTGGGTGCAGGTGACACGGGTGTGTTCACTTCACGAACATCCACCCAGCTGCACACTTACAATCTGTGCGTTTGTATCTACAGAGACGGTACTACCCTCACATTTGTGTTAAAAACAAAGTCTATGCCTGCCTTGCTATGTCCTCAAAGATGACTAAATGTAGATAGGGATCAGCCTCTGATCTAGGCTCTAATTTAGCACTTGGAGGTTTTCATTAGGTTAAACACTATTTCCCAGCACCCAGGAAAGAAACGTAAATATGTCACTGTCATTTGATCCCAGAATTAGACAGGCACATGTAGCTTGAAAAAATCTACTGGAATATCTTCTTAAATATTTTGAAATAGAAAAATTAGGGATTGCACAAAGATATATATAACTTAGAATTTATATACAAAGTATTACAAAGTACAACTACCTTTCCTTTCTTCCTCAGAAATGTCATGAATTTTCTGGTTCACAAATTCAGCATAGGATGCAGCATACCACACCTGCAAGAATCAAGAATATCACCATCAAAAACTAAAGGACAATGGTAAGTGTTCTTTGCCTGCTTTATTTTTTAAATTTTTCTCCTGCTTGTATAAAACAAGTCAGGCTTTTCAACAGCCCGTGGTAAACAAACTGACAACAAAAAAATCACACTGTGGCCCTGACCGGTGTGGCTCAGTTGGGTGGGCGTTGTCCTGCAAGGCAAAACATTGCAGGTTCAGGGCACATGCCTGGGTTGCAGGTTCGATCCCCAGGCAAGGCATGTATGAGAGGCAGCCGATAGATGTTTTTCTCTCCCACTCATTCTCCCTCCCTTCCCTTCTCCCTAAAAAAAAAATAAATAAAATCTTTAAAAAAATATCACACTGCGGGCCCACCCCTTTACCATCAGTCTGCAGTCAGGAAGTTCGCTTGCCAAAACACACAGCGTGTTTTCTTTTTCCTTTTTAAAAAAATTGTTTTTGTTATTAGAACAACTTCACAAGAGATAATATTAATGACTCTTCATCTAAATAAAACAGAGTCTCTCTTGATTTCTTTATGTGTGTTTAAGCAGAGGTTTTCACACAGCTGTAATCGTAGAACCTTCCAGCCCCACCAGTCACCACATGGCTCTTACTAGGTTCACCAGTGACTTTCAAATGCTGCCACACCCTCCTCAGTCTCTTCCTGTTTCCCACCGCACTGGCTCCATCTGCTCCTTGCCTGGCTCTTCTTCCTCTCCCTACTTTCTAAGTATTGGTGTTTCTCCTAGCTTAGTCCAAGTCCAGGGCCTTCTTCATTTCCCCTGAGGTGATCACCTCCATTTCCAACCAATTCTCTGCTAATGACTCCCAACTCAGTATCTCCAACCCAGACCCTCCCGGTTCCCCCACACACATTCTACTGCCTACCTGATGTTCTGGATGCTTCACAAACAGCTCCAACTGCACGTGTCCAAGACTGAATTTAAGATGCTCCCCTCCTCCCCTGCTGACCCAGCTCACCTTTTCCATTTCAATAAACACCCTACCTTCCACCCAATTGCTCAGACTTGAAACCTAAAGGTATCTTGGATTTCTCAGTTTTCTTCTGCACCCTTAGCAAGAACTGTTGATTGCTCAAATGCTTTTCACCTCTGTCTCAGCCACCTGGATGCATGCCAACACAAGGTCCTGCCTGTTCTTCTAATGAGCCCCCTCTTTTCTACCCTTGCCCTCAATCCATCCTCCCTCCACACAGAAGCTGGAGTGGTCTTCTTAAAACAGCATCATCACATTCCGTTATCCCCTGCTTAAAAGCCAGCAACAGCTTCTTGTTTTGTAATAAACTCGAAACGCCTGACAGCCTCCTAAGGGCTCCATGATCTGGACCTGCCTTACCAAAGCAATCTCGGCTCTCATCACCCCACTTTCCCTCTCCTTCAACTGAGAGGCCTGCTGCCAGTTCCTTGCACATGCCAAGTTCTTCCCTACCTCAGCCTTTATTTGCCCTTGCTGCCTCACCACCAGGAATGGAGGATTCTCCCCCTGCCCCCACCCAACCCTTCTACACTGCTGGCCCCTTCTCATCAGACAGTTCTCGGCCTAATGAACATCTCTTCAGCAAAGTCTTCCCTGTCCATCAATCTAAACAGGTCCCTTTTCTGTTATTTGCTCTTTCTGCATCATTTGTCTCCTTCCTAATGCTTGCCACTATTTGATATTATTTGCTTATTTACATCTTTCTGCTTACCTCCCCTCTAGAATACAAGGTTCTGAAACATGGGGAAACCAAGTCCATCTTTTCCTAGTGTCTGAAACCTAGTAGGAGTTTGATATATTAATCCCTGAGTGAATTAATCATATATCATTGTTATGGAACATTATTTTAGCAATATGAAAATATTTATTTTGAGATACTTTTTATCATTTTTAACTGTGGGGTAATATTTTACAGCATCTGTATTCTAATATTTACTTAACCATGACCCTGTGGTTGGATTTTTAGGTGGCTGTCACCTCACTGTTATAATTCTACCCTGGCTCATCAGCTCCAACATGCGCCATTTCTCGCAGGTGAACACCTCACAGTGCACGGCGCTGGACAGTCACGGCCACGAGGCGGCCAGTCGCCACTGCCCGCTCACTGTTCCCACACAAGCCGGCCAAGCTCTTTGTGCTGTTCTCACCTCACAGAGTTATGCACTGCCCTGGCACTCTGTGAGCTGTGAACACTTGCCAAGCAACACAAATGAGGGCAAAAAAACAAACAAACAAACAAACTCTGTTTTCTCCCTCAGAAGAAATAAATCTTGCCCTGACTGGTGTGGCTCAGTGGACTGAGCGCCGGCCTGTGAACCAAAGGGTCACGGGTTCAATTCCCAGTTGAGGCACATGCCTGGGTTGCGGGCCAGGCCAGGTCAGGTCCCCAGTCATGCGAGAGGCAACCACACATTGACCCTTCTCTCCCTCTCTTTCTTCCTCCCTTCCCCTCTGTCTACAGTAAATAAATAAATTCTTTTTAAAAAAAGAAGAAATAAATCTCAAAGCAATGCAAGCTGGTGTGATCACCTTACAGAACCTCTTATTAAAGTATCAAACATCAAATTGTCAGAAACTGTCTAGTGACTGGACTGAAACCACTTCACTTTCAAGGACATGTGGCAAAACTTGGCTCAGTGGGGTAGGCATAGTCTCACAATGAAAAATGTCGCCAGTTCGATCCTTAGTCAGGGTACATACCTAGGGCGCAGGTTCCATCCCCAATCAGGATGCGTACGAGGGGCAATCAATCAATGTTTCTCTCTCACACTTTCTTCCTCCCTTCCCCTCTCTCTTCAAAAAAAATTTGCATAAGAGGGTAATGACTTGGGAAAATATCCTAGCCGTGATGGAGGAGTACTTACATTAGAAATCACTTACATTACAAAAGAAATGCACTGTACTGCTCTCAACACTGATGACACGGAGGATGACAGATACGGAAAAGCACAAATATCCATGATGGAGTAAAACAGTGAGTCAGTGAAAAACATCAGACTGCACACAAAGCAGCTAATACCATCACCAAATTCTTTTGCCTATAGGTGCCTTTTTATGTGTACGTGCTGTGATTTTAAAATTATAATTAACTAAGTCTAAAACAGCTCATACAATTTGGATAAAATAACCACTTTGTTGGTAAAGAAGCACTGTATCAAAGTCTAACCAGCACCTTTTTCTTTAACGGCGGGTAAAACCAGGTGTGAGTGAAAGCCACAAGCGTGCGAGTCACTGAGACGCGGCATCACGAAATCCTAACGTGACTTGCTGTCTTCGTTCACAATTATTTCCTCAGACTGATTTTCCAGGAATTGGGTTTACTCAGCCAAGAATATTTTTGACATATGCTGCCAGAAATATTCTATAAAATATTGCAATTCTGTAATAAATGTTCCTGTATCTTAAAATTCTCACATTCACTGTACTGTACCCATTTATTTTTGCTAATTTAAATTAAGAAAATCAGTAACTCGTACTTATCTTATGGGTTTTAAAATAATCAACATTGAAAACATTTAAAAATATTTCTTACCTATCTGATTCCTCCTCCAAATAAGGCCTGTTTCTGGCATTTGTTCATGTGTCTGTCTGCACGTAGTGAGGTCAGAGGTGCACAACCCTCTCTGTTGTTACACTTAATCACTGTACTGTGTATTACCCATACTTCCCCCATTCTGTGCTTTCTTTTCATCTGTTGTTTTGGTTATTATACTGAACTATTCTATTCTTATCTGTTTCTGTCTGTCTTACCTCTACAGTTGCCATAAAAGAGAAAATAATTTCCCCTCCACAGTTCAGTTTTATCTTGTCAAGAATTTCTTGGGATAGATGGTGTGAGATATAAATCTCCTTTTACATATTTTCTTTGGGGTGTGTGGATTATCTAGTTGATGGTTTCAAAGACACAGGCTTTGTATGGCTTTTGAACAAAGTCCAGGTAGGTCTTTGCTCTCTCCCTAGGGAGGTTGTCTAGTCTCTCTTTGACCACAGTGAGGCGCTGTGCAGTTCCATGTTCTCCTCAGTCCTCACCCAGTTTTTCACTTATATCAGGAAGCTATACAGTATTGTAATGCCCTCTTTTGGCTATGTTTCTAACACAGATTTTTTTAAATGTATTTTCACTTGGAATCATTGCAGAATTTTCATTATGTCATCGAGTTAATATTTATACAAATTCCAACAGAGAGTTATTCCAAAAAACATATTCCTGAAATCTGAAGTCCATGCGTAGAATTCCTTGGGCAAAATGAATGATTCAGATAAAGGAAAGAAATCAAAGAAGGAGGAGGGACTGGTCAGAGAACATACATGCATGATACATACATGTCTGTGGACACAGACAACAGTGCAGTGATGGCACCGCCTGGGTTGGGTTGGGCGAGGGTGGGCGGTCATCTGTAATATGTGTCAGCAGTAAAAATCAAGTTAAAAAAAGAAACCTTGCCCACACATCTGAATTCCATTTAATAAGATGTCCTGTTTCCCACTGACTCTTCTTTTACGTGTCTAAACCACATTAAGTGACCCCATCTTTAATCACTCCATCACAAAACCAGCCTGCTCCCCAATCACTACATCCTTAACCCTTGGCCTAATGCCTCCCTGTGGCCTCTGATAGGCCCCAAGGTCATTCACCTTTTAATCTCTTCTACTTATGGGATTATGATAGGTGTACAGTACTGAATATGTATTCAGTAAGTAAATGAATTACAAGGAGAGAACCATTTTTGTAAGAAGCCCACTTCAGCGGGGGTGGTGTGGCTCACTGGGTTGGGCACTGTCACACGAACCTAAAGATTGCCAGTTCGATCCCTGGTCAGGACATATGCCTGGGTTGTGGGTCAGGTCCTCAGTTGGGGACAGCGAGAGGCAACCAATATTTCTCTTGCACACTGATGTTTCTGTCCCTCTCTTTTTCCCTCCCTAGTCCCCCCCACAGTAAATAAATGAATAAAATCTTAAAAAAAAAAGAACCCCACTTCAAAGGGACAAAAGGTAGGAAGTGCACTAAATAATCACAGGTCCTAGCAGAGGCCCCACTGGCCCGGCTTTGTACCTTCAGTTCCTGCTTGGGCTCCACGTTTTTGATTGTTGTGTAATACACGTGGTGGCCGTACTGGTAAGCCACCAGGTTCTGCTCCAGATGGTTCTGGGCTGGACGCACAAACATCATCCAGTTACAAAGGGTCTCGTCAGACAACTCGAACCACAGGTCTTCGTGCAAATCCCTGTCTTTTCTGTCCCCTTTATCCAGAGAAACCTGTGACCAAAGAAGAAGTTAAGAGCCACACCAAAAGATAAAAATCTTCAGTGTGATATGCATTGATGTCATAATATATAAAATATTGCTCCTTAAGTTTCCCATACATCCTGAGTCGCCCCTTTGCATGGACACTGGCATTGTGTCCTGCCAACTGGGAAAGGGAAAGGATACTTGCCAAAGACCCGCCTCTAGGAGAATTACCTGGCAAAACCTCAAAGTTAGCAACCTGACTGAGAAGCTTCAGCTGATGTGTCATCGTTAACTAACACAACAAAAAATGCTACAAATAGGCCAGGAAATTTCATTTGGGATTCAACTGCATTCATTTAGAATATGTAGCCTATATTGCTTTTTATAAAATAATATTCTTTTTTAAAAATCTTGAGCATTTACCAAGGAACACCTCCCTATGACAGGAGCTAGATTCCCAACACACATCCCAAATATTTTCCTTCCCACTGCCCTTTCTTGGTTCACCAGAGTGGCTCTTGAAGAGGCAGACAGCAAAGGGTTAAATAAAAGCAAAAGTGTCAAATGTAAAAACCAGAGATCAGTATAAACATACTTTAACATGCAGTGAACTATTCTTTAGCAAAAGATTGAACATCTGTTTCAAAAACTGAAAAGTACTTTTCTTGAAAAGAAGGTGCTGAGCAGATACATGAGACTATATAATCCTCGGTTCTAATCAGATGGAAAAAACAAAAGCTGTTAGAGCCCCTGTTGTGGGCTAAATTATGACCCCCAGGCAAAAAACAACAACAACAACACACCTTCATATGTTAAAAGCCTAACCCCCAGCAGCTCAGAAGGGGACTACATTTGTAGCTTGGGCTTTTAAAGAGGGGATTAAGTTTAATTGAGGTCGTCAGAGTAGGTCCTAACCCAAACTGACTGCTGACCTTAGAAGAAAACATTGGGACACACAGAGAGACACCAGGACACTGTCGCAGAGAGGGACGACCACATGCCAAGGCAGCAAGGGGCAGCCATCTACAAGGCAGGAAAGGGGCCTTGGAGGAAACCAACCCTATCAAAACCTTGATCTTGGCCTTCTAGCCTCCAGTACTGTGAGCAAGTAAGTGTCTGTCATTTAAGACACCAGGCTGTGCTATTTTGTTATGGCAGCTCTAGCCAGCTAATTCAGCCCCTAAGAACTATACCTTTCAGAGTTATTCATAAAATGCCTTAGCAAACAACAGCTACAAAATTGAATTAGGAGCCTGGTTGTTGTTGCCTAGGGGACTGAGTGCCAGCCTGTGAACCAAAGGGTCACCAATTCAATTCCCAGTCAGGTCACGTGCCTGAGTTGCGGGCCGGATTCCCAGTAGGGAGTGTGCACAAGGCAACCACGCATTGATGGTTCTCTCCCTCTCTTTCTTCCTCCCTTCCCCTCTCTCTAAAAATAAATAAATAAAAAATTTTAGAAGTTAAATTAAATTTTGGCCTGGCTGGCGTAGCTCAGTGGATTGAGCACGGGCTGCGAACCAAAGCATCACAGGTTCAATTCCCAGTCGGGCACATGCCTGGTTACAGCCCATGGTCCCCACCAACCGCACATTGATGTTTCTCTCTCTGTCTCTTTCTCCCTCCCTTCCCTCTCTAAAATAAATAAATAAATAAATAAATAAATAAATAAATAAAATCTTTTTAAAAAGTTAAATTAAATTTTTAAAAACTGAATTAGGAGACTCAATAGGAAAATGTGTGCCCCTTTAAAAAATCATAGGAACAATAGTGAACTATGAATAAAGCATAAATTACCTTCAGATGAATATAACAGTCTTTCAGCTCGGACTCCCTAACGAGGGGTCCCTCCACGGGGCCAAACTGGGTGCGCTTAGGGATGCGCCTCTTGGAGAACACGCCTCCAAGGAACCGATCGATGTAGAGGACCAGGGGGAGGCTGGCTCTCGCCCTGGTGAGCACAGGGCGGTTGGGGATGGGGTGCAAGGGGCCATGCTTCGGGCACACCGAAGAGTGTGCGTTGTTACACTCTTCACACCCTGCAACAGAAGGAGAACCTGGACGTCAAAGCTTTCAATGTGACTTGATCTCAAGTAAAAAGTTCTAAGCTGAAAAAATTCCCAAGTTTTCAGGCTGAAATTCAATTAACTCGTGCAATTACAATACCCATTCAATTGTGATATATTAGCTTTCATAGAGTAATAAAATCCTGTACTTTTCCTCTAAAATCAGGCAGAATTGGCTATGCCTGCCAAAAATAATATGCAGACTGTGGCTTTGACTTATTTCTCTACCGGATATGAATTCAAATAGTGGCCACTAAATTTACAAATCAATTATAACATGTCTGAAAAGAAAAAAAAGGAGAACTTATTAGACTAAATATTACAAAATTTGATGAGATGAAAGAAGTGAATTTTATAATATATGAATTTTATCTCAATAAAGCTGTTTAAAAAAAGAAACCCTGACAATACTGTTTAATCAGTTTTTTCAAAAGAAAGTACAGAAGCCTCATTGTCTGGGCATGTCTAACGAAAATGGAGAGCGTGCCGAGAAGTCTGCAAGCTCAGAGCCTACCGTGTGAAGACAATGTGGAAACTGATGAACTTCACACCCTGGCCTTCACTCACTCGGATGACCCAGTCGCCCGGCCCTCAGAGGACATGTGTTTGCAGCTCATCCTCCGAGTGATCAGTTTGCACTAAGTGGCCACGCTCTCCCCCTTGTTTTCTGTAGCGCCCACCTGTCAGCTCCCTGTCAGAAGTAGATGTACAGAGCCACACAGGAGAGAAAGTGACTGGGCCTCTCAGAGGTCGTACTCATGACTCTTAACAAATTTAATTCACCAATCATATTTTACCCAACTCTGGCTGTGTGATGATTTGGCTTAGGAAATGGGTATTTTCAATTTCAATAATTGGCCAGTAGTAGGGAACTACTTTGTATTAATGTCTGTAACAAGCCCTGGCTGGCATAGCTCAGTGGATTGAGCGCGGGCTGGGAACCAAAGTGTCCCAGGTTCGATTCCCAGCCAGGGTACATTCCTGGGTTGCAGGCCATAACCCCCAGCAACCGCACATTGATGTTTCTCTCTCTCTCTCTATCTCCCTCCCTTCCCTCTCTAAAAATAAATATAAATAAATAAAATCTTTAAAAAAAAATGTCTGTAACAGAAAGTGGTTTTATGCATATTTGACTAATGAGTAGCCTTGAAAATGTATCAAATCAAGGAAAAACAAATGAGACAGTTCTCTGTCGAACATGCACGAGAACACCGGCCCCATGCAAATGGGCTTTCCCACCATCGCACGGAAGGTCCCAGGAGGAATATGGAGCAACCACAAGGCTCTGAACGGCCTGGCTTACTCAAACAAACGAGATAAGAACTTCACCACAGCAGCATGAAAATCGATGGAAAGAAGCAATGATCCGGTAGGTGGAAGCGGGAACACCCTCCTCCCCAGGCTGGCAACTCAGAGAGGCAGTGCTGGGCCATGGGTGCGCTGGAGTCAGACTGCCTGCGTTTGAATCCTGACTCTCGCAGTAACTGAGCATGACCTTGGGAAACCTGCCTGCCCCTTAAGACTGTGGAGAACGTGAACCAAGTCGGAGAATGTAAAGCACTGGTGCCTGGAATACAACAGGCCGTTTTAAAAGGTTATTGTGAAAAGACATAAAGCAGTAAAGAAAACATATTAAAGCTGAAATTGTTGCTCTGGCCAGTGTGGCCCAGTTAGTTGGAGCACCATCCCATAAACTGAAAGGACACGGGCTTGATTCCCGGTCAGGCCACATGCCGAGGTTGTGGGTTCAGTCCCCAGTAGGGGTGCATAGGGGAAGCAACTAACTGATGTTCCTCTCTCTCTCTTTCTCCCCTCTTCCCCATGGAATCAATGAGTGCATTCTCTGGTGAGGATTTTTTTTTAATTTGTTAAAATAAAACTGCTGAATATTCCAGAACTGGGCAAACTTACCACAGTGGTTTGGTAGCCCAAGTTCTGGTATCAGAGAGATGTAGGTTGGATGCCTGGTCCACCACTCACCCTACGTGACCCTGAGCAGGCTGCCCCACTTCTCCTGGGCTTCAGTTCATTCATCAGTAAAACCGGAACTCGAGACAGCGTCTTCCTCCCTCACACGCTGTTGTGAGGCTGGAGGGAGGTGAGGCCCATGGAGCGGGGGCACTGTGCCCAGGCACGGAAAGCCCTCACTCACGAGCACTAGCTGGTACTCACACAAGTCGTGTGGGTCGAAGGGCCGAGGAGGATCTGGTTCCCAGTCATCCAGGTCTGTGTCTTCTCCATCTTCCTCCTCATCTTCCTCCGAGTCCTCATCTTCATCCTCTTCCTCTTCCTCTTTGGCCTCCAGTCTACTCATAGGGTTCTGCAGAGTAGCCAAAGGGTCTGAGCCATCCACACTGTCTATCGAAGGTAACACCTGGCTGTGCACCGGCAATGAGGCCTGGAGAAAGTCCCACAGCAGAGTTAGCGCACGTTCGCTCTTAGTTGGCTGGCACACACGGACACACATGGAATGCAAGGTTGGGGTGGCAGGTGGTCTTCACCCCAGCTCCCTTCAAGGCCCTGGAGAGATGATTTCTACCTATCAACTGTAAAGAGGAGTCTGCCTTCATTTTTGTTTTTTGTTTCCCACACCTGGGCAAGCTGATGGGAAATCCTGGGTGCTCCCCCCTTTGACGTTGGCAGGAGTTTCACACCTGACCATGTGCTCTCCAAACTCTCACTGCCCCCACCTCTGCACCCCAGCAAACCCCAAGCCAGTCTCATTTCCTTACTCTCTCAGGCCTATTCAAACCTGCTGGAGGGGCCTGACCTGCCTCCCCAGGGACTTCAAATGTGTAAGTCACAAACCTTTCCATACCTTCTTGGTGTATGTATGCTAGCATCTGAACTCAGCTTTGGGTGGGGTCCCTCCCTCCTTTTCAGGGCAGCCACACTGTAGGTAGTGATTTGATCTATCCTCAACCATTCACTTCTAAAACTAAACACGTGCTTTGACGTGCAGGTGGTAAAATTCCATGGTCAACAGCTCTCCTCTTACACCTCAGAGAGGCTGAGGTTTTGAAGGTCAGAATGAAAGGACGTCTACTTGTTTCATCATGCTGAAGTTAGTCTTTTGCAAGGAAGAGATTTGGCTCATGTATTGGGTTAATGCTACTTTACCAAATAAGCTGGCAGAAAATAAATGGTGCCTCAAAGAGTTTTCTCACCTCCTAAATAAGTGTCATGGGTTATAGACCTGCCCAGATTCCTTTTATCTGATCTTATTTCTCACCCAATTAATACCTTAAGTCATACTCAAGCTATGTCCCTTTCCTATTTAGTAAATATAGCAAGTTTTTCTTGTTTGTTTCTATTTGGTTTTTGTTTTAGAGAAAGGGGAAGGGAGAGAAAAGAGAGGGAGAGACATCAATGTGCAAGGGAAACATTAATCGGTTGCCTCTCGCTTGCCCCCAGCCAGAGACCTGGCCCACAACCCAGGCATGTGCCCTGACCGGGAATCAAACCAGCAAATTTTGACCTGCAGGCCGGCACTCAGTTCACTCAGCTGCACCAGCCAGTACTATGGCAAGCGTTTTACAAATGTCTACTCCCTTTTCTTTACCTTCCCATATGTTGTTTTCCTCACCCAGAATGCCCTCCCTGCACCAATCTTCTACACTGGTCAGGTCATCACACTCAGTTTCTCCATGAACCGTCCCTGACTGCTCTCCCCCTCCCTGCCTCTGCTCTGCTCTGCTCTCCTCTGCTCTCCTGTGGCACTTGGAGTCACAGAATCCCGCTTCACCTCATTCATCCTCTGCTGCCACATTCCCTCCCCACACAAGGCAGCCCAGAGCACACTGGGTAGATCGGAGATGGTTACTGTGGAGTGGACACACCCCTGTGCGTGTCTTCCATGCCCCAGTCGAGACCAGTGGCTTCCCTCTCAAGTTAGAGAGGGTAAGTCCAACCCTTGTGCCGTGTGAAGGCTGGGCTTCAAATACGTCAAGACCAAAAACCTCGACTCCCTTCAGTCCAGTTCCAGGCCCCTCATCATCCTGCCGTCCTCACTCATTCCCCAGTGGGTCCCACACCCCGTGAATGTAGCGTGTGCACTGATGACAGCTACTGTTCTGCAGCTGGTCCAGTCCAAACGTGCAGACAAAAGTCCCTGCGTCCCTTTGCCCCTCTCGCAGAGTGCTGCCAGACTGCTTCTGTCCCCCATGGGACTGAAATAGCTGATTTTCACTTACATAGGGGGACTTCTCATTTATCTTCAGTAAATTGCATTTTATTACTTTTTCCATTCTTTCAGTCTGCCAAGATCTTTTGGAATTGATTCTGTCAACTCCATATTAGCAATCCCTCATAGCTTTGCATCCACTGCCAAACACCGTCCACTTTTCAACGAGTATGCATTTTTATGTGAGTCTGTCTTGCCTCTCTAACTGCACCTCAGCAGAGCAGAGCACAGCCTTTGGAGTCACACAGATTTAAAATCCTGGCCCCACTACTTAGCAAATTAATACACTACTCTGAACCTCAGTTTCCTCATCTGTAAAATGGACATAGTAACAAACCTATACCTAATAGGCTGTTGTGAGGACTAAGTGAAATAATTATGTATATGAGGCTTAGCAGTAAAGCACCTGGCTTTTAGTCAGTGTTTAATATTAATAATAGATTATAATTATAAATTCTGTAAGGATCCAGATAACATCATTTACTTCCATCTACGCCTTAAAAGACTTGCGAATGTTGGGTATTCAACAAAGATCAGTTTGTGAAAATATATTTGGCCCTTGAGAGATGACATCAATCCCTTTAGGCATCGAAGGAAACTCTGCTGCTAGTCACAGAAACACCCTTTCTCCAACTTCTTAAACTACATAATGAAAAGTCCTTGTGTGTGTTTACAGAGCCTGCCTGCTACGGCAGTGACAGACCTTTGCCAACATTTGAAATCCTCAGGCTCAGAAGGCAGATACGATCCGCTGCCTCCAAGGGTACCGACATGTTTTAGCATGCATTCACTTAGCCCAGGAGCCCAGACTTTTATAGGATTTTCTGCCTCTGAAGTTCGGGGCCTTTTAGAAGCTTTATGTGGGAGGGCAAAATTCTGGGAGCTGCTTCGGCTTCCGAGTCAATAAAAACAGAATAAAATACACGCTGAGGTGAGGACTCCACAAGGAGAAGAGCAGGGGACTTCTGGCAGCAAAACTGCGTTTGCCACCTCCCTCCTGCACCCTCCCCGGATCCTGCCACAAAGCTACGTGCTTCCCACTTGTTATCTCAGAGCACAGTTCCAATAGCGCCCTTTATTCTAAGCACTTAAATTTTATGCCAACATTAGTGATGAATGTTATCACATGCTAAACAAACCAAAGCATATATCCACCTCTGTTCCCCACAAATTCTTTATCTCTTTGCAGAGCCAACCTCAAAGAATGAATTCAGCAATTCAGTCATCCCAAGGAAGCTGTGATGTATTTTTTCCCAAAAGATGCTGCTAGAAAGGCTGTGGTCAGGCAAGATTACTGCTGGCTCCTCACCACTGATGAGAGAGCTGACATTAGGTAGCGCCAACAACCTTCTCCTACAAGACTATGGCGAAGAAGAGGCCTGAACACTGGGCACTATCTGGAAACACATTGAAGCAGAGACTGAACACAGACCAGAATCGCACAAACTACTGTTGCAAGGAAACGAAAAGGTCGATGGCAATCATTTCTAGGTAAAATCGGCATATTTCTAGAGAGCATGGACCTTAACACACAATAGGCATGCATTATGAATTTGTTTAATTAATAATTCAAATTCAACTGGCACATCTGAGAGCTAGGCATATTTGTAAATTCCTTTGAGGCTGGGGAACATGACTACACAGTTCCTAAGCGGCAGAGATAAATTCAAACTCTGACCCTGCCCTGCTTTTCCACTACATCACAACAGCTTCTGCGGAGGTAAGTCTGTTCAAGGAGAGCAGGGGAGGAGATAACATCACACAACACCTGAATACCGGAGCCACAGGTAACCACACCTGCCCCGAGACAATAGCCAGTGAGGTGGGGAGCAATACGTGTCAACTCTACTTACAGAAAAAGAATATAGGACAAAAATATTTTAATCCTGTGCATTTTGCCATGCACAATAAAACACAACAGGAGGAAAAAGAATTTGTTCAACTTATGGTACACTTTCTCCTTCCCACCTAATGTCACTCTCTCTGTAATTATTTCTGAAACTCTATGATGCGTTTGCATTTCAGGATACAATGTATCTGACAAGTGAAACATGGAGCTAGGCCGGACAGCAGCAAACACAACAGAATGCCTCTGGGTTCCTGCTGAGACCAATTATCAGTGCGGCACACTTCCTTCTCAGTGGGTGGGGAGTCACACATGGTCATTTTCCACAACAAAGAAGAGCTGTGCTGCCAGGTCTGGAGAGTACGGAGGCCTTTCTCAGGAAGGAGGAATGTGTATATGAAAAAGGCTTCAAATGGATTTTGCCACCACTAAAAACGGTAGAAAATAGGAAACTTTTTGCTAAGAAATTTTTTTTAAAAAAAGCATTTTTATCAACCCTGGCTGGCATAGCTCAGTTGATTGAGCTCAGACTGTGAACCAAAGTGTCGCAGGTTCGATTCCCAGCCAAGGTACATGCCTGGGTTGCAGGCCATAACCCCCAGCAACCGCACATTGATGTTTCTCTCTCTCTCTTTCTCCCTCCCTTCCCTCTCTAAAAAATAAATAAATAAATAAAAATCTTTAAAAAAAGCATTTATCTTCTGTGTTAAACCCTCACTCCAATTTTCTATTCAGAATTCATCCAGGTCACAGAACAAGCTGACAATCAATGAAGTGCTACAACCATAAAAAAAACAACACCTGTGTTGGTTTTATGCTAAGCCAATAGTTACACTTCCTTTTGATGTCGGTGTTCATAGAGCTGAGTATGACTTTCCTTTTGTACAGAACATGAAACAGATTGTTTCTAGAGACTGGAGAAGGTGAAGGACCCTTTGAGGTGCAAATGGCAACGAAACTTCTAATTAAATCTATGCCTTAATATTAAAACAACAGGATACCATTTGTATATCAGATTGGCAAAATATTAAAGAACGCAAATACCCAATGCGGTAAGGGTGTGTGGAAATGGGCATTCTCACATATTGTTGGTAAGAATGTCAATTTTTCAACTCCTGAAAAGCAATTTAGAAAGTCTTATCAAAGTAACTTTCCCATTTATAATGACAAACTTCAAACATATATCAAATTGCCCCAGCTGGTGTGGCTCAATGGATTGAGTGCCGACCTGAGAACCAAAGGGTTGCCGGTTTGATTCCCAGTCAGAGCATATGCTTGGGTTGCAGGCCAGGTCCCAGTAGGGGGCATGCGAGAGGCAACCACACACTGATGTTTCTTTCTCCCTCACTTCCTCTCTCTCTAAAAATAAATAAATAAAATCTTAAAAATAAAAAAAATTTAAACATGTATCGAATAGATAGAATAATATAATAAACTTCATGCATCCATCACTCAGCTTCAACGCTTATCAACTCATGGCTAACCTTATTTCAATTATATTCCCACACACTTTTGCCCTCACTAGATTATTCTGAAGCAAACCTCAGGCATTATACATTTCTATCTGTAAACAGTTTTGTAGATATCTCTATAAGAAAATGACTTTTAATTTTATATATTATCATACCTAAAAAAATTAATCATTCCTTATTATCATCAAATATCCACTTAGTGTTAGGATTTCCCCAGTAGTCTCATAACCTTTTTTTTTAACCATTGGCTTATACAAAGTCTCCTTTAATCTGTAAACCCTCATTCCCTTTTCTTTTCCTTTGCAATGTATTTATGGGAGAAACAAGGCCATTTGTCCCACAGTTTCCCACTGCATGGATTTTGCTGATTGCGTCTTTGTACATCTTTTAACTTGTTCCACTCCGTTCACCTTGCTTCCTATAAGCTGGCAGTGGAATTCAGAGAGTGGATCGGATTCAGGCTCACCTTTGGGGGCAAACTATTTCACGTGTGGTGGAACACAATAGAAGGTACACAATAGCAGGAGGCCAACAGTGAATGGTTCTCTTGTTCATGATATTAACAATGTTCCCAGGGCTCAGCTGATCCTGTCCATTATAAACTGCTGCATCAGTTTTTTCCTGAAGGTTTCAGACTACTGTTGATTACCACTGCCTAGATCCATGTTTCATTAGAAGATAAAAAATGGTGATATTCTAAGCCAGTCATACCTTCTTTAATTCATTAGTTGGAATGCTTCTATAAAGAAATTCCCCTCGTCAAAGAATTATTTACCCGAGTATATTCAGGGAGAAAGGCTGAATTCTTTCCAATCATTTACCAGTTTCCTGAATAATGAATATAGTGGTCCCCTAGCATCCTCAAAAAGTGACCAATGAGTTATTTCTTCTAATATCAGTATGAGCTTATGGATTTTAAATATATTTTAATGTGTTTTGATCATTGCAGATGTTTTCCTTTTTTCATAGGTCAAATTGTCCCATTTTTGGACCTTATGAGTTAGTCATGAGTTATTTCCACAGAACTCCAGAACAGAAGATTTTACTTGCTTCCTTGCATTGTGATAAGACAAGATGTTTCAGGTACATCTTGTACATTTCCTTCCCCAGAGCTGGAACTGCTATTTCTCTAGGTAGCCCTAATTCCTCTTATTAAAAAATTGTGTTTGGAGACCATGTCAGCTCACTGCTACTGGATGGATGAATGTATCTAAACCTTTCCAGTCACCAGAACTAGAAAACATGTTTTGTTTTGTTTTTGTAGGAGAATTTACATGAGTTCATACTGATACCTCAACTCAAATTTAGGATTCTGAGGTTTTATTTAACTTGTTTTACCTTTATATTTGTATCTTGTCTCACTTTTAGAAAAAAATCTTGGTTCTTAAATAATTTTTAATGCAAATACCATTAGCCTCTATCATTTCTCCTTGGAGAATTTATTTTAAGGAAATAATCTGATATATCTATGACAGTGTTCTTCATAGGAGCAAAAAATAATAGGAAATAACATGCATATCAATATAAAACAACAGCTAGAAAATAGTACATCCCCACAATATTGGGTTGGCCAAAAAGTCTATTTAGTTTTTTCCATAAAATCAAAGACACACTTTTCATTTTCACCAATAACTTTATTGATTTGGATATTTTGAGTATGGCAGCTACGTCCCACTATTGGCCTCTAGTGGCTAGAGGCCAGGGGTGCTGCTAAACATCGTCCAATGCATGAGACAGCCCCACAGCAAAGAATTATTTGACCAACATGTCAATAGTGCCAAGAAACTTCACAGACCACTTTGGACATTTTGATCAGTCACAACACCTTCTCCATACACTGCACAAATCTTTTTTGTGTTTCAGTTGCATTTTTACCTTTCTTGAAATAACAAAAATGTCATATATTTTATTCTATCTTCAATATTAAAATGTCTACACAAAAATTCACCAATTTTGATTTTTTTAATGGAGGCTGATATGACAGCTGTTATAATACAATCTAACAAAATTGTTTCAAATAAAGTTAAAGACACCTAAGCACTACCAGAGCCATCTTACAGAAAAAAAACTAAATGAACTTTTTGGCCAACCCATAATACTATACAGTTAACAGGAATGATGATGAAGGTAGAATGATGAAGGTTGCCATCAAATTTAATTTAACATGTAAGAAACAGGTACCAAGAGAATACACAGTGCAAATGGCTGGGGAACACTCCAGGGAACAGGAATGTTCATGGCATTATCTCCAAACAACAAAGAGGTGAAAAGGCAACTCATTACCTGCTGAGCTGTAGCATCCTGTTGGACGTAAGCTACCTGGCCTGGGTCTGTAAACAGAGTCTAGACAAAAAAACAAACAAACAAAACACAACAACTTAGTAGGCCTTTAGACAACTCGCCTAAACAGAAAAAATTAGCCTACTGCTAAGCACCAATTCGTGGGAGAGTTAACTCCCATATAGCTAGTAATAATCCTTCATTGATAAAGAAGCTAAGGATAGAAATCTTACGTTTAGCTAAAGCCTTTCACTCAGTGGCACCCAAGAGACTGTATAAGCTAACCATCTCGCTTGGCTAACACACTCCACACCTTTCCTCTTAAGAAAAAGCCCCTCCTGAGGCTGAATGTCACAAACGAGGATGCACACGCTCACACTTAACACTATGTATCACAAGGAGCAGACTTGCCATTAAGTGAAAATGAATAAAGATATATAAAAATGCAGAAGGGTACTATATAGGCAAGCATTACAGCTCTTTCAAATATAAAATGCACACTCATTACCAGAAGGGAAGTAGAAGACAAATAAATTTAACTTAATGCTCCATAGATTCTATTTCAGAAAAGGCCAGTAAAATCATAATTTAAAAGAAAGTTCTCATAAACACATAATTTGTGTCATGAAGCAGCAAAGCTGATGAAAGGAAAATCTTCAAAATTATTTTAGCCAAAGCACTACAATGTTCAACCTAGAAAAAACTCTTTCCCCATAAGCTTTGAAGAGACTTAAATTTGCCCAAGCCTTTAACAAACGTCTAGGAATAAGAATTATAGCTAAGCTTTGACTGCAAAGAAATGTAAAAGAGAATTTCAGCGAGTGTCAGATTCTTAGTTTTGACATTAGAAACTGACCAGAATTCAGGCATCTAGTAACATAGCAATAAGCCGAAAGCTGGGCCCAGGGAGGGGACCACGCCGGGGCGGAGGCAGCCGGCATCTCTGTCTGCTCCTTCCATGCGGATGCCAATTTGAAAGGCACCAACTCGGTAGGCCCTGTTTCTTCTCGGAAATGATTAGAGCCTTTTGATTAAATGTTGCATGAAAGGGCAAATTTTTATTGCCATGGTCCTACAATAAAAGTATGGAACTTATTTTTTAAAATACATTGAAAGGTGCTTCTGTACAGTGTAAAGTGCTAACAGAAACTATATACTGGGGAATATTTGTGTTGTGCACTTGGAAACCAATACCCCAAGTCACTGGCAAAAAAATTAAAATAGCTGTAATTGTACAGCTTTTACCTTTGCTCTACTGCAGTCCCACACATCAGAAAGGTATTAATAATAAATAGCAGTTAATAAGCTAGCAGGAGCTTTTGCTTATACATTTAACTGTAATCATCTATATGTTTTCACCATCTTTGGTTGAGCAATGCAGAACTAACTGCCATGACTGGCCTGCTCCTTGACACTTAGAAAAGTAAAAAGTTGACAATCTAGTCCATGATCACTAGGGAGAAGAACTGATACAAGGCTGGTGCTCTAACTCAGCAATGTGCAACTGGTGTAGCAGAGAATTTTTAAAACCTGCAACACCTGCCTTTTTAGTCAGGGGCACTGTCCTCCCTTAGGCTATCAAATAAAAAAGTGACCACAGCCAACACAACAACAGCCCTCCGGTGTGAATGCCTGTGTTGGACTATGAACACATAAGTCAGCTCTACTAAACTGCATCTTACCGGTCACGTTGTATAATAAGGCTGTGTCTGATCTGTTCATTCTTAGTACCAGAAATCCTGATATACAAGTATAGGCACCTGATTTCTTAAAAAGTCATTTCAGAGCAAAAAGGCTAAGTAATTACTACTATTATTATTATTTTTGTAAATCAATCAGAATTATACCTACTTTTTGTCAGATTAGCAAAAATATATTTTTTGTTATGCCACAGAATTTTAACAATTAGTTTATGTGTGCCATGAGCTGCAAAAGGTTGAAAATTGCTGCTCTAATTCATTACGTTTAATTTAAATAAATAAATCATATCTTCCTCTGCCAGGCTGGTTATAAGCTCCTTGAAAGCACAAATCTTATCTGAATATTTCCTGTACCAACAGCCACAGTGGTGACTGGCAGAGAGAAAGCCGAAGTAATTAGTGAATTAACTGATGGATAAACAAACTGTACACAATGCTCATTCACATGCCTGAGCGGCTTCCACCGGATGGATGTACACCAGGGTGTGCTCGGGACCGTCCACCGACGTGTAGGAGGCACCATCTGCCGTGTACACCACCTGCTGGGGCGGGCGAACCTGGTCATCAGTGTAGACGATCTGAGCCACCGTTCCAGCGTCTGGAACAAAGTGTACCTGCAGCAAAAAGTGGCAAATATGTAGCAACTACCCCTGTAGAACAAAATCAATCTCCCAAAGCACTCTCACAAAGATACAGAGCAGACCAAGCCCAGCACACATTTGCATTTCTCAAATATCCCTAATGGAGAATGGGGATTGATACGTCCTCATCTATGTTGAATTACTGACTTGGAGACAGAAGCCAAGCACCTTGTCACTCACTGATATACTGCTTACTATTAGGCAGCTGATTTAAACTCCCCTTTGCCTCAAATATCCATATCCAATGTACATATCTCTTAGCGGGAGTAAGGAGGGGGTGCTTAACTGATCCTGGAAGTATGACCAAATATTTCTGGTTAATATTTCCAAAATACAAAATACAAATTATTCTGTAATGTGAAAAAATATGTCAAGACTCAAAAGCCAACTGCTTTTAATACATCATAAAAAATTCTACTTTGTAACTAATAGTGCCTTTCAGCAGACACATTAAAATAAGGTCACTTTCTTTCCTACAAGTTCTTTCATACCTCAAGGCTGTACTGGGAGCATACCAGTAAACATTTGCTGAATCAATGACTAACAGAATTCCTAGCCAACTAGAGAAAAGATAAGGAAAATTCTAATGAAGTACTTTTAAGGGATTCTGGACAACTATTTCAATTGTCAACAGGGTACATAATTTTATATCTACCAAGAACTAAAGTAGAAATTGAATTTTCTAAAATGCTTTCTGAGTAGTTAGCTTTGGAGGCTTGAATTCTTGAAGGCTCAAGTTTGGCATACGGCCCGAGGCTGATACTGAAGGTATAGGAGCAGATGGCCGTATCACATTTGGGAGAGAAATAATTTACGCACTGATGTTGAAGCTGAGCACTCGTAGGTTGGAATCCTTTACTCTTACAATGTCTTGGCTTTGGACCTAGCTTCTTATTTCCGCTTTCTCCAATGGAGAACAGTAGAAACAAAAGATGATATAAACTAATTTAGTCCCCAGAAAGAAACCTTGAGAGCAAATGCCATCAAGCACCAACAGAAATAAAACAAACTTTCACTTCTATACTAAGGAATCAGTCCACCTTCTACATAAATTTAATTTGTCCATGAACACAGAGTTTATATATTGGAAGAGTTAAGCTGGCAACATACTTGTGCTGCATATTTAAGTACTGCAGGATCATTCTGATTTTAGATTTGTTCATTAACATCAAAACCCTGCACGGTTTCAGTGCTTTAAAAGGGCAAAAAACATCTCCGCTTCAACTTGGTCTTTGCCACTCACTATTCTGCTAAGCCAGAATGCCCAGCTGGGAGGAGGGGCAGTTAGGAAGAGAAGGGGAATGAGGGATGGGTGGGGTAGGTAGCTCTGCTCTCTACTACTGTCTGGTTACCCACTCCTGGGGACCGAGACCACACTGCCATAACCACGTTCTCTTTTATTCTGTTCTTTCATGGACTACATTTCTGTTTATGAACAAAACATATCAAAATATAGAGCTGTATGAAAGTAGCCATTAAAATGGTTTCCATGAAAACAAAACAGTATTCTCAATGATTCTGCTAGAAGTAGCTCTGGAACTTTTTATTTTTTTTAAGTATTCGGACTCAGCCTTTTCAATCATACCAGATAATCAATTTTATTTACTATAACATTTATTATATTGCTTAAGTTAAATAAAATGTGTATATTTAAATGTTTCAAGTAACATCCTCATTTTGAATATTGTGATCATGTAATTTGATGAATAATTAAATAAAAACTACTGTTTATTATAATGCTTAAAAATTAAGTTTTATACTTTGGTCACATATAAAACACGGCTCCATATGACTGCCGACTCTTCTCAATGCATACCAAAAATGCAGAGGTTCGCCTTTCCTATAAGAATAGTCAAAAGAACAAGTAGCTGGTTATGACAGCAATTTGAAAGGCAGAGGTCACAATTACAGCAGCATTTCAATAAGTGACTAACATCCAGAGTTACTGACTCAAAGGGACAATTTTCAATTAAAGGTTTACGTTCCTCATTTGAAAAGGAGAGAAAGCCACGCAGTTCACAGACATACCTCATACTTCATTATGCGCAAAGAATCAAAGCCATATACTGGGTAACATCAAAGAAGTGCACTTTCAGTGCCGATAACAAAACAAAACAGAGTGGTGGTGCAGATTATGACACTGACCAGGGAAAGGCGGGGAAGCTGCTGGGTGGCAGCTCTGCCCTCCTGCACCACACCGCACGTGCTGACAGGCCTTCATAGCATGGACACGCTGCCTGCTCCTGACCTACCAAGTCTGCATGTCAGTGCCCTTCCAGCTGCTCACTACATTAGGGAAGCTGCTATCTAGCTGTCAGCAATCTGTACCCAACTAGCAAACTGCTCTCACCACCACGCTGGAAAGACCACTCTTCACCTGTGCCGCACTCTCCTCATGTTCTGCAGATGCAGGCCACACGTGGGAGCTCTCCTCTTTGGAGTCCATCCTTTCCCAACTGGACAGCTCCACGTCCAGGGCACCTAGGGCAGCATGGGGTGGAGGACAGTCATCCGTCCACCCCGTGAGTGCTCATGAAGGACAAGAAGACGTCTCTGCAGTATGCCTGAAAAAAGAGAGAGAAGGACCAAGACTTTAAATAGATGCACACATTTTAATATAGTTTCAACCACAGGAGAAAAATAAAACCTCCTAAAAGCTAACACACCTGGGCAAGAAGGTAAAAGTAGAGAAATCATGTGTTGTAATAATACAGGTATGGCATGCTTGCTATGCTCTAGGCACACATGATATAATGTACTTCTCTTCAGAAATACTTCAGGTAGCCCTGACTGGTGCGGCTCAGTGGCTTGGCCATCATCCCACAAACCGAAAGAAAGGTCGCTGGTTTGATTCCCAGTCAGGACACATGCTTGGGTTGTGGGCCACATCCCCAGTCAGGGGTGTGCGAGAGGCAGCCGGCTGATGATGTTTCTCTCCCTCTCTTTCTCCTTTCCCCTCTCTCTAAAAATAAATAAACAAAATCTTAAAAAAGAAATACTTAGGGTAGTCCTCTTAGTTCTCCTGAGTGGGAGAATGAGGTTGTCCAATGCTAAATGCAGGTGAGCAGTGGGCCACACCTGAGCCTGGGGGCTGCACAGCCAAGCCGTCCCCTCTCTTCCACACCTGATTAGGCGCTGAGTGCCTATGCCACCTATTCGAAGTGAATGGCAGAGGAACAAGTTATAAAACAAGCAGAACATGGCACGCAGAGGAGGCTAAATTCTCTGGGGCCCAACTTGGTGAACATAAAGATAGACTTTGCTTCCCATTCGGTCAGTACAGGGGGGACTATGGAACAGCCTGGAACAGATCAAAAGCTTCCCACTTGGTCAGTACAAGGGTGACTACGGAACAGATCGAAAGCCCTGCCAAACAACACCAGGCACTTGGTCTACATCGTGAAACCTTGTTCTTTTCCAAAACAGGCCCTTTAAGGAAATCAATCTTCCCTTTTGATGATGATAAAGTGCTGACATTCTAAAAGTCCCAAGAGATGGCTGCTGTAAAGGGCAGCAGGGCAGCCACGCCGGTAAAGCAGCATGTGTAGACAGGAAAGTCCAGCCTGCGAGGAGCCCCTTCAACTGAGGATGAGGAAGGCCGCTGGCCAGGCCCCAGCCAGGCCAGGGTTTTCTCCACTGTTAGTGTGAAGGCAACCTAAGTCTTGCCCTCTGGGGCATTGAGTTGAAACTGGCTATTAAGAAAAAAAAGACTTAGAAAGAGCCTTTTTGACCCTCTTTCTCTTCCTGCCTAAGAGATTGAAATGGAAAGACCTACTCCAGGAGGGGAATCTTAGGATGCTTGCCTTAGCCTAATTTGAATAAGCATGGTAAAAGGGAGGCTTCTGGTAGAGGCTTCCTAGACTCTGACTGCCACGTGTGTGCGCACAGTTGCTCCTCAACTCCCTGCAACCTGCCCGTTCTCCCAGCTGCCCCTTCTCCTCCTGTGTCCAAGATGCCACATATACCCAGTACAATCTCCCTGTCTTCGAATGTCCATGCTGATGTGAATGCCCGGTGTACATGTGTTAAAAATTTGATCTTGACTGAGTGGAGGGAAGATGGCAGCGTGGTAGGAGGGAGCAGATTCCACTTTCCCCTACACACGGGAGAAAAACCTAGCCGATCTACAGAGGAACAGAGCAAACAGCCAAGAGTACCACAGCATATATGAAAATAGGAGATCAAAAATTACAACAGACACTGAAAACCCAGACGGTAAGGAGAGTGCTTCAGGACAATAAGGGCCCAGGGATCAGCCAGGGGACCACGGAGGCTGCAGTCCCAGGCCTGGGGCTCACAGGGTCTCCTATAGGGCTCTTGGGAAAGGGCTGGGTCAACCGCTCCCTCCCCAGCCAAGCGAGGGTTGAGCAGCACTGGAGGAGGTCTGGTTGCTTGAAGGCACAGACAGGGGAGTGAAGTCTGAGTGGCAAACACACAGGGACTGTGAGCACCCACGCACAGCCCTGGGAAGAATGCGTGCCCGAGCCTGTGCAACCAAGGGCAGCCTGGCCGTGTGCCCCCAACCCGGGTACAGTGTGGCTCTGTGGAAAACCAGGAGCCCACAAACAGAAACCCAGGGAAGGTGCATGCTCCATAGGAGCCCCGGAGCCCATGCCCGTAAAGCCGAGGTAGTCATGTGCCTCCTAGGAGCCTTGGAGCCCACGCCCGTAGACCTGAGAGAAGCAAGCTTGGGAGGGCCTGGATCCCACACCCAGGGCCCTGTGGAAAGGCACCAGCTGGCTCTGGGGAGAGTGTGCGACTGAGTGCTGAACAGGAAGGGAGAAAAGCAAAACCAATATCCCCTAAGCTTGCTACAGCCAGCAAGACCAGAGAAGCCGGTTTGGCTAGTTTAAAACCAACAACGGGTTTGTTGTTTTTGTTTATTTTTTATTGTTGGTTTGTTTGATTTTTTTTAAGTGATCTTTTATTTTTTAACTTTTATTATTTTTATATCTCTCAATTCCTTTTGCTTTTCTTTCCTTCTTTCTGGTTTTATTCCTTCTTCCTTCCTTTCCAATTTTATCTCTTCTTCCTTCTTTCTGCTTTTTTCTCTTTTTTTTCTTTTTAAATACCCACAAGTGAGACAAAAAAAAACACAAAACAAAACAGGAACTGTGAAAAGACCAGAGTTGGACCCAAAGAGGGGGCATACCAACAGCTAAGACAGTGAGGAAGACAAATTTCACTTTGCTATTACAGAGAACCTGCAAGTTATTGCATATTTGTATTATTATTTTTTCATTATTCTTACATCTTTCATTTTAATAGTATTTTTGTATTTCTCTTCTTTCTGTATAGTCTTCTTTGCTTGGCTGGTTAAGTTGTATCATTTGACAGGTTTCCCCTGTTCTCTCATTCATAGTGTATTCCTAATTTACTGTCCTTCACTTCATTTGTGTTCCATTAGCACATTATTCAAGGTCCTACACTCCCTATTCTTGTTACCTAGATCTCATAGGTTCTGTCATATGATTGGTGCTCTAATATTACTGTAAATAATACCTATTCCATACAATTGTAAATACTATACAACACACCCCCCCCCCCCAGATCTTAGCCCACTTCACGATCTACTGAAATCTATTACTGTACTGGTTAACTCTATTCTCTCACACACTACACCTATTTACTATTCTTTACTCCCACCTTACCTCAGAATCTGACCTCCCACAACCTCACTGCTTTCTAGATCCAACTCACAATCCTTCCCTTCCCAACAAGAGTCTTATCTTCTTCCCATCCATTCTAAAAAGTGGCTAGTTGGGTGGAATATCACAGTTAACACTATACATAGCCAAAGGATCTCCTATTTCTTCTCTACTGGCTGCTACTGTAAATATCATAGAATACTCTCTTGCTGTCTTAAACCATTTTGCCTTACCCTTCCAACTGATCACAAAGAAGAGTAGGTAGAAGCTGTGAACACCAGTAAACCCAGAGGAGACTGCACCACTGAATCTCACAGGTATTCTACCACAGAAGTTCATACCATAAACCCAGGGAGCCAGAACACGTCAACTTAAGAAGCAGAGGCTACCAAGAAGAGTCTCACAAACAATGGGAAGACAAAGAAACAATCCCCAACTGAAGGGAAAGGAGGAAGCCTCAAAAAGAATGCTAAATGAAATAGAGGCAACTCAACTATCAGATATTGAGTTCAAAGCAATGATTATCAGGAAGCTCAATGAGCTCACAATGAGCTACCAGAAACTACAAGGAAGCTACAATGAACTCACTGCAAACGATATCAACATGAAAAAGGAAATAGAAACTATCAACGAGGGGCAAGAGGAAATGAAGAATACAACTTCTGAACACAAAAGAAGAAATCAAAAGCAGGATCAATGAAGCAGAAGATCGGATCAGTGAGCTGGAGGACAAAGTAGAAAAAAACACCCAGAAAGAGCAAGAGAAGGAAAAGAGGCTCAAAAAGAATGAAAAGGGATTAAGAGAAATGCAAGATAATATGAAACATAATAATGTCCATATAATAGGGATACCAGAAGGAGAAGAAGAAGAGCAAGGGAAAGAAAACCTATTTGAAAAAGTAATGATGGGAAACTTCCCTAATTTGATGAGAGAAAAAGTCACACAAATCCAGGAAATACAGAGAGTCCCAATCAAGAGGAACCCAAAAAGGCCCACCTCAAGACACACATCATAATTAAAATGGCAAAATTTCAAGACAAAGAGAGAGTCTTAAAGGCAGCAAGGGAGAAACAGGAAGTAACATACAAGTGAGCCCCAATAAGGCTAGCAGCTGACTTTTCAATGGAAATGCTCCAAGCCAGGAGAGAATGGCAAGAAATATTCCAAGTAACGAGAACCAGAGGTCCGCAACCAAGGCTACTTTACCCAGCAAGGCTCTCAATCAAGATAGAAGGCCAAATAAGGAGCTTCCCAGACAAAAGAAGTCTAAGAGAATACACCTCCACCAAACCAGCTCTGCAAGAGATGCTAAAGGGACTGCTTTAAGGAAAGGAAGGAGAAGAGAGACAGAGAGGAACACAGGTACAAAAATGGCAATGAATAAGTACCTATCAATAATAACCTTAAACATAAATGGATTAAATGATCCAATCAAAAGACATAGAATAGCTGAATGGATAAGAAAGCATGACCCACACATATGCTGCCTACAAGAGACCGACCTCAGGACAAAATATCTACAGAGACTGAAAGTGAAGTGCTAGAAACAAATTTTCCGAGCAAATGAACAGGAAAAAAGAGCTGGGTAGCTATACTCATATCAGACAAAACAGACTTCAAAAAAAGGACCATAAAGAGAGACCCAGAGGTCACTTCATAATACTCAAAGGAAGAATCCACCAAGAAGACATAAACATTGTAAATATACATGCACCCAACACAGAAGCACCCAAATACATAAAGAAAACCTTGGAGGACTTCGAGAAAGATATTGACAGCAACACAATTATAGTAGGGGATTTTAACACCCCACTGTCAAAGATCGACATGTCTTCCGAACAGAATACCAACAAAGATATTGAGGCATTGAACAATGCCCAAGATGAAATGGACTTAACTGATATATATAGAAAGC